AGAAGATCGAAGAGAAGTGAAATGTGATGTCATGATGAGCCAACAGACGGACGGACAGACAGACAGACAGACAGACAGAGAGCCGCGCAGCAGCGCTCCCAGCATTCAGCAGCCAAGCAGCCAAGCAGCCATCATGAACCACCGTCCACACACCAACCCGATAATTCCTGTTGACGCACATATGCACTCCAAATACCCACCTGAATGGGCCTGTCGCAGCGGCTGCTAACAGACAAACGCACAGCAGCACGGCCAGCATTCAGCAGCAGCGGCCCTGTCTCCGCCACTAGCATCTCCCCAGGTGTGCTGGAGCCACTTAGAGCAGTGGTGGCGATTGGTGGAGCGAAGAGGTCAGGCGAGGGGACTGAGAGGGCAGGGTAAAGGGAGGGGGGGAAGCAGTGGTAATGCATGGATCGAAGCTACCCCCTGCTTGCTTTCCCCTGATGTGTTCGAGCCACTTAGAGCCGTGGCGGAGGTACAGGGCGCAGCGAAGCGAAGAGGTACAGTACAGAGGGAGAGGGCTAAAGGGGAGAGAAGCCGGGATGGTTGGGGGTACAGCACAGAGGGAGAGGGCTATTTGCAAGGGGGTAAGGACTGACCAGGCAGAAAGGAGCCGTGGAGCGCTAAAGAGAGGTCGCCATCCTCTCGGCTGATGGGGTGGTGCACGGTGACCAGCTTGGTACCGTCCTGGAAGGTTCCCTCTACTTGAACCACGTCCAGCAGCACTGGCACCGCTGGCAGCACGTTGCGCCTGGTGATGAGGGGGAGGGGGGGGGGGGGGGGAGGGGGGGAAAGAGAAGAAGGGATGGTAACTGGGTTACACACTAGGGGTGTTTTGAGCCACGTCCAGCAGCACTGGCACTGCTGGCAGCATGTTGCGCCTGTGTTGGGGGGTGGTTGGGTTGGGTTGGGGGGGAAACAGTACAGGGTGGCTACAACACATCATGGGGTGCTTGAACCACGTCCAGCAGCACCGGGAATGCTGGCAGCATATTGCGCCAGGTGATGGGGGAGAGCAAGGGGGGGAGGGGTGTGAATGAGGAGGATCAAACATTGAATCATGGCACGAATTATGTATCTCTTCCCCAACCTCCCCCCCCCCCCCCACCAGCCTCGCTTCCCCCTCTCTTACCCCCCCCCCCCCCTCCCCCCCCCCCTTTATTCCCTCTTTCAGAACCCAAGTGGAAAACGAACCTTCCCAGAAGCTGCTTGCCGAGGTCCATGAGTTCCGCGACGCTCTTCCCATCGCGAATGAACTCCAGCACCTGGCGACCACGGGAACACGTGGCAGATCGTGGGACACGGGGCAGATGATGGGACGCGTGGCAGATCGTGGGACACGGGGCAGATGATGGGACGCGTGGCACATGGTGGGGACACGTGGCACGTCGTGAAAAAAGTGGCAGAAGGCGATTGGAAAGAAGGAAAGGTGCAGAACTGAGGATCGCCACATGAGCCAGTTCCTGATGAACGCGCATGCCGGATGGACATGACTCATTACACACTGATGAACGCACATGCCGGGTGCACATGACTCATTACACACTGATGAACGCACATGCCGGATGCACATGACTCATTACACACTGATGAACGCACATGCCGGGTGCACATGACTCATTACACACTGATGAACGCACATGCCGGATGCACATGACTCATTACACACTGATGAACGCACATGCCGGGTGCACATGACTCATTACACACTGATGAACGCACATGCCGGATGCACATGACTCATTACACACTGATGAACGCACATGCCGGATGCACATGACTCATTACACACTGATGAACGCACATGCCGGGTGCACATGACTCATTACACACTGATGAACGCACATGCCGGATGTCTGATTCGACTGGAGAAGTCATTCGGACCTGAGAGGCGATGAGAGCCACGGCCTCGGGGTGGTTGAGCTTCAATCCGCGCGTCCCATCGTGCACACGTGGCAGGTCATAGGTGGCGATTAATAAAAAGGCACGGTGCAGTGACATGGATTACGCACCTGGGTGGCGATGAGAGCCACGGCCTCGGGGTAGTTGAGCTTCAATCCGCGCGCCAGCCGCTTCTGCGCCAGCGCCCCTGCCGCATGCAGGCGCAGCTTGTCCACCTCGCGCACGCTCAGCCTCATGGCTGCATTTGAGGGCGGGGATGGGGGAAAGGGATGTGAAGGGGGATAAAGGGGCCAGCAGGCCCATTGATTTCAGCGCCCCTGCCGCGTGCAGGCGCAGCTTCTCCACCTCGCGCACGCGCAGCCTCATGGCTGAAGAGGGAGGGGGAGGAGGGAGGGGGGGGATTTGGGGGGGCGCGGGAGTGGGGGATGAGGGGGGATCAAGGAGACAGTAGGTCCAAGAACTTCAGCGCCCCTGCCACGTGCAGGCGCAGCTTGTCCACCGCGCGCACGCTTAGCCTCATGGCTGGTGTGGGGGAAGGGGAGGGAGGGGGTTAAAGAGGAGGGGGGAGGGAGTGGGGAGGGGAAAGAAGTATGAAGGGGGGAAGGAACCAGGAGGGGAAAACAGGGCAATGCAGAAGGCACCCAATAAAAAGGAGGGCAGTGCAGGAGGCACCCACCTGCTACTGTTGAGACACCTCTTGGAGATCCGGTTCGGCTCAGAAGAGGGAAACGACAGGCACCGCCGCCCAGCTGCCGCCGCTGCGGGACCCGACTAGGCCGTTCCAACGACCAGCTGAAAGGCTCAGACTCCGACCTCCTACGCCCAAGAAATAGCTTCTCGCGACGAAACGGCTGCTGCGTCCACGAAGTGTCCTTAAGGTACTGGCAGCGGCAACGGTAGGCTGTGGAAAGATCAGCTCTTTTAACGCAGTGGTGTAAACCGCTTTTGTACTCGTCGTACGCTTCTTCGCTACGCCTGAACTGCGCGTAGCCAGGTGCTGGGAGAGGGATAAATGCAGCCAGCTAGGCAGTTGACTGGACCTTTTAGCCTGAACCCCCTTCGTCTGACGATTACCGGCGCTCTTAGCGATCCGCGCACGGAAAATCTTGCGCCTAGGCGCTGGGATCGCAAGGACTGAGGCGTAAGATGGCTGATTGGAGGACTCGACGGGGGGAGATGGAGAGAGAGGTGCGGACGGGAGGGAGGAGAAGGAGGAGGAAGCGAGGAGGGGAGGAGCAGCGGTGAATGTGACACTAGCGAGGGTGATTGTAGCGACGATTGGGGACAATGGAGTGAGTCCGAGACGCAGAGAAAGCACGCGACGAGGAGGAGTGGAGGAGGTGGGACTGGGAGAACTAGGCGCGGAGGAGTCAGAAACGGCAGGAAGGACGAAGCTAGGGACACTGGAGTTACACGGAGCTAACCTAAAAATATCGGAGGGAGACTGACACGTGGAATTCGAGTGACACGTGGACACCGGTGGTGCTGTCCAGCTGGACAAAGGAGGGAAATGCTGGAGATTGCGCAGCGACGGCGGTGGACGAGAAGGAATCGGGAATCCGGCGAGCAGAGGCATGAACGCTTCGTCAACGCATAGTCTGCGCAGCTGACCACACGGCGAGGATTCCGAATCAGGAAGCGGAGTCAGCCACAGTTTGAGAAACTCGGGTTCCTCTCGGAGAAGAGAACTACTCGGATCAGACAACGCGGATCCTGAAGTGCTGGGATGGCGGATGCCTAATGTCCGATTTTAAGAAAATGTAAGGCAGGAACCAAGATGTTGAAGTTGATTCGAGAGAGCCGAGCCGAGAAACGGAACCAGAGGGCTCACAGATGAGAAAGCAATCCCAAGAGAAAAGGAATCCCATGGTTATATGACCAGGCACTCGAGACAGGAGGGGGGAAAATGAGGAACCGAAAATACCGAGGGAATCTGGCAGGCTGGGAATCTGCAAGCCTTGCAGCGCAAGGGGATGGGAATTGGAAGGGATGGGCGCGAAGGGGGAGGAAACTGGGGGAGAGCGGAAGGGGGCACGGCCGCGCGTTAGAGAAGTTGCATGGCCCCGCTGGCGAGTCTGCGTGACCGAAAGGATGCGCACAAGTGTCAGCGGAAACCACGATTGCGGCTGGCGCCGTTGCGCGCTGAGAGCCATGGGGCAGGCGTGTTCAGCTGGGGAGGAAGCCGTCTCTGTCGTGGAAAACGCAGAAATTCCACGTGGTTACATTATCTGCCAATGGAAGGCGATCACGTGGTTGACAAAGCACAATCAATCACCTCCCACAAGGCTGACTGTGATGCAATCCTCTCTTTACTCAACCAGCCTGATGTGCAAAAGGGCCCTTCACCATTCAACTTTCAAATATACCTCATTTTTCCATGAGCAACTCGAGAATTGATGCTTATGATGAATCAGATGTTCAGAAAAAATCGAATGGAACAAAATTGCAGTACATCTAAGCAGATGAGTTGAATTCATTGACCAAATTGATCGGAAGCGCTGTTCTTTTCTTCTTTTGAAACTCTTGAACAGCCTACTTGTTCACGAGGTTAGGGCGTGTAACATTTTTTACGAACACACCTCAAGGTCGACCATTCAGAAAGGTTGAACTTGGTCTGGTGAGATTAACTGCGATGGTCAGTAGAAAAAACATGGTACAGTACAGTGAGTGTTAGGTTTGGAAGATGTTCAAGAAAATGTTACACGCCCTTAGGGCGTATAACATTTTTTACAAACAAGCCTCAGGGTCGACCATTCAGAAAGGTTGAACGCGGTCTGGTGAGATTGAATGCGATTGAAAGTAGAAAAACGTGGTACAGTACGGTAAATGTTCGGTTCGGAAGATGTTCGTGAAAATGTTACACGCCCTTATAGGGAGTATGTGTTACCACGTCTCTGTTTCCTGCGGTTACGCAGCTTCCTGGTTCGGGAGGTTTTCGCGAGCCACCGATCTTGTCGGTGCGAAGATGTACAGTTCCTCAGACTCGCGACAACTGCGCTCCGCATCCTCACTTCGCGTCACCCCGTTGTCCCCAATTGCGAGCGCAGGGTCGCTCCGCGATAAAAACGTATGGGCGCGTGCCAAGCTCTCAGTCGTCAGCCATTTTTCGCGAACCCAGCGAAGTGGAAACAACAATTCCACTGCACAGCACCGATAGCCCAACCACCAGTCTCTCTCACCTCAGGAGCAGCACCCTCTCTTCAAGCAGCCATCCACCAGGTGGCTGCTCGAACGCCCACACTCAGCGGCATCGTAACGTAGGGCGCAGTACGCTGCAGTGCGGTGCAGCGGATCAACCCAAGCCCAGTGTGGAAACTCCACTCACTCTTGGTACAACAGCACATTGTTGCATTACTGACTACTTAGCTCTTGTTTTTCAGAGGGCAAAGGTGTCGCCTGGTCAGAGGTCCCCCACCAACTCACGAACAGCATTGAGGAAACCGAGGTTCCTCGAGCCGCGTCTTCCCATGGACCGCGCTCGCATGGCCCCGCTCTTCCTCCTCCTCCTGCTGCCGCTCGCAGCAGCCGCCCCCTCCGCGCCCCCGGCGGGGAAGTCTCCCCCCGTAGGCGCAAAAGCCCCCGCGCCTGCGCCGCCGGGGGTGGCAACTCCGCCGAAGACCAACCCCGCGTGCCCGCTGACGGGGAAGCCGCCGACGAAGCCGGTGATTCCGCACTCGCGGTGCGTGGAGGCGCAGAAGCTCTCGTGCTGCGAGGACTGCGCGGATCTTACGTTCCCGATACAAGCGCTCGCGATAAATGTGACTGCTGCCGTGGAGCCAGCGACGGGGGGAGCACTTGATCCGGCGACTATCCCGCCAAATGTAGGTGGTGTGGCACTATGTGTGTTGCTCGCATCGCATCGCGATTACTCCAAAATACCCGTCTAAGAGATGACTTTTGAGTCGACTCAAAAGTTATCCCGTCAGATGTAGGTGGCGTGCAGTGCACTATCTGCGTTGTTCGGATCGCATCGCGGTTACTTCGAAGAGCCCTCTAAGAGCGCACTGCTCCTCGCCTCTTTGGTTTCTCCCGACAATGTCTCTAATCCCCCTCCGTTGCCCCGCTTACTGGCTTCAATGCGCCCCCACACCCTCCTCCCCGTCCGCAGGTGTGCGCGCTGTTCCAGGGCCACGAGGAGTGTGCGCAGCTCGTCGAGCAACGCGCGCGCCCTTCTTACCCCTCTCTCCCCCTCCGTGTCCGTGTTGGTTCTCTCTCCCACCCTCGCCCCCCCCACCGCCCCCCGCCCTTTTTCGGCGCAGGTGTGCGCGCTGTTCCAGGGCCACGAGGAGTGCGAGCAGCTCGTCGAACAGCTCGTGTGCGCCGTAACGTGTAACCCGGGTGAGTACTTTTTCGCGAACGAGCCGCGAATGTCTTCCTTGAAAAAGTTGCCTTCCTTGAAAAGTCGCACACCTTCCGTGGAAGATTTGATTTTCTTCTATAATTCCTTTCTTCGACTCAACCCCACGTTGAGTGTTATGCCAGTTGATTGACAATGAAAGCACTTGGCGCACTGTTGCTCCCGATTCTGGCCGGAATGAACACTTCACTAATTTCAGATTTTATTCGTTGCAGATTCCGGGTATTATTTCATCGATACGCCCACCGGCCCCTACATGCAAGTGTGCACGAAATTCGCACAGCAGCTTTACGACAAGTGCTCCAAACTTTCGAGTGAGTGCTGGTGTTGTTACACCTTACAAATAGATAATATCATCATAAGTAGGTACTTACATTCATATTCTATCGGGACCCCTTATTCGTACTTCTCCCCCCTGCCCCAGCTCTGTCTTTTTCAGTCCCCCAAACCCTGAATTGATGACCCCCTGTTTGTTCCCCTCCCTCCCTCTTTTTCTTCTGCTTCCACTCCTTTGTTCTCCATTCCCCCTCTAATGCTGCAGTTGGTAGTTTGGCACTCAGCGATATCATTTACGTCCCGGAGGATCTTATCAAGGGCGCAATCGTCCCCCTTATAGCACAGGCCGTTCCAGGCTTCACTGCTGGAGTCGGAGTGAGTACCCCAAGCCATGTTGAACAACGTACTGAACAGTCCTAGCGATTCTGCTTTTGAGTCGACTCAAAAGGCACCCTGTTGTACGGCGTACTGTCCGCAATTGAGATCCCAATGGTCGTCATTAACTGAACTTTTGTACTGCGTACTGAACAGTCCTATGCGAGTCTGCTTTTGAGTCCACTCAAAGGGCACCCTGTCGTACGACGTACTGTCCTGTCCCGTGCGAGTCTACAGAAAAGCAACCTGCCACTCATTTCAGCTTTTCAAATAGAAGTGATGGATGAGTGTGTGAGGGAGTGCACGACTATACAAGCATGTAGATCAGCCTTCTGAATGTGTTCAAAAAGCTCACCTTGCTTGCTGCTTCTCGATCTCCTCCTCCCCACTACCTCTTTCTCCCCCCTATCCCTTTCTCCCCCTTACCCCTTTCTCCCCCCTACAGCTTTCTTCCCCCTACAGCTTTCTCCCCCTTCCGCTTTCTCCCCTCTACCCCTTTCTCCCCCCTTTCCCTTTCACCCCCTAGAACTCAGCAATTCTGTCATTCAACTCTCGTCGTCTGCACTGCCCACCCCTCCCCTTCCATCTCTAGGAAGTGGGTTGCTACGGTGGGCCCCAGGTTCTCCACTGCCTCTCTGCTGCGACCCTCCCACCGTGTCTCACTATCCTCCCCTGCGCTTTATTCTTCCGCCCCTTTCCCCCTTCCCCCCCCCCCCCCCCCCCCCTTTTCCATGATTCCAGGACGTGGGTTGTTACGGTGGGCCCCAGGTTGTCCCCGCCACGCCTCTCTGCTGCGATCCCCTCACCATCCCCCAAACCTGCCCCACTGGTTCGGTTAACACCACCGGAGCAGAGAAGATCCCGGGCCGGAAGCCGGACCAGAAAATTTGTGCCAAGTACCCGTACAAGACGGGGACCACGCCCTTCGCCCGCCCCCCGCTTCCCGCAACCGCCTTTGACAAGCCTTCGCTCCCCGTAGCTCCGTCCTCCGCACCTGCGCCAGGCTCGGCAATGGCACCTGCGCCAGGCTCGGCAATGGCTCCATCGCCTGGTGGTACGGTTGACGGGGCTACCCCCTCCCCCTCCTCCCCTGCTGCACCCAGTCCTGCATCCCCGTCCTCCCCCTCCTCCCCAACCACCTCCCCCTCTTCCCCAACCACCCCCCCCTCTTCCCCCACCGCCTCCCCCCTTCCCCACCCCCCTCTCCTCCGCCCCCGAAGGGCACTGGGAGTGTGGGTGCATCCGTGGCAGTATCTCTTGTCTCCGTAGCGCTTGCTGCCCTGCTGTAATCGGGGTTTGGGTCGGCTCAAAAACCTCCTCTGCCCGGGGCCCCTCTCCTCCGCCCTGCAAGGGCACTGGGTGTGGCCTATTTTTGAGGCGCCTCAATAATAGACTCTCCCTCTGCCCGGGGCCCCTCTCCTCCGCCCTGCAAGGGCGCTGGGTGTGTGGGTGCATCCGTAGCCGTATCTCTTGTCGCCGCTGCCGCGCTTGCTGCCCTGCTGTGATTTGACAGGAAGTGGCGATCTTGTAATGAAGTGATGGCCATGGCCCGGTTTTGTTTGGCCTGGTAACAAAGCGATGAGAGTATATTTATGGTAGGACCTGACTGCCTGAAATCCACTGAAATTGACTTGAATCTGACTGTTCATAGCCCCATTAGGTGTGCTTTGGTGACAAAGTGGCTTATGCCTAATATTAGATGAGGTTAGGAACTTGAATTTGGCCGTTTGTGTTAGAAGGCTAGCTTAGCTAGGACGCTAGGAAAGGCATGAGGTTTAGCTAGGAGGAGCCATGGAGTGGCGTGAGGTTTAGGAAGGAGAAAAGTTGAGAGAAAAAGAGGTTGGGAATAGAAGAGAGAGGGATACAAGGAGGGGTGTTGTACCCTCTACAGTAAAGTTCAGTAACCTACCAAGCTTAACAATTATATAACACAATATATAATTTTAACAGTTTGGCCCAGTGCAACTTGGAGCACAACGCGTGAGCTACAACTTTTAGTACATTCAAACGACCGAAGCAGGATTTGTTGAAGTGAGCACAACCAGGGCTGACTTTATCAGACTGGCTTCGTAGCGCCCCTCCTGGGCCCCGTCGCGCCCCTCCTGGGCCCCTGTAGCGCCCCTCCTGGGCCCCCGTTGTGCCCCTCCTGGGCCCCGTAGCGCCCCTCCTGGGCCGCGTCGAGCCCCCCCCCCCCCTCCTGGGCCCCGTCACGCCTTCAGGCCCCATCGCGTTCGCCCGGCCCCGTCGCCCCAGCCCGGCCTCGTCGCACCAGCCCGGCCCCGTCGCACCAGCCCGGCCCCGTCGCACCAGCCCGGCCCCTTCACGCCCGCCCAGCCCCGTTGCACTCGCCCGGCCCCGTCGCCCCCTGCCCGGCCCCGTCGCAGCCGCCCGGCCCCGTCGCACCCGTCCGCCCCGTCGCTCCCGTCAAGCCCCGTCGCACCCGCCCGGCCCCGTCGCAGCCGCCCGGCCTCGTCGCAGCCGTCCGGCCCCGTCGCGCCCGCCCAGCCCCGGTGCGCCCCTCCTGGGCCACCGTCCTGCTCGCCCGGCCCCGTCGCACCGGCCCGGCACCGTCGCACCAGCCTGGCCCCGACGCACCCGCCCAGCCCCGTCGCACCAGCCCGGCCCCGTCGCGCCCGCCCGGCCCCGTCGCGCCCGCCCGGCCCCGTTGCACCGGCCCGGCCCCTGCGCTCGTCCCTGCCCCGGCCCCGGTCCTCCTCACTGGTACGGTTTCCTCCCCCCCCCTGCCCTGCACTGCCCTGCACCGTACAGCCCCGCACTGCACCGCCCCGCACCACCCTGTCCTGCCTGGCACCGCACTGCACCGCCCTCCACCGCACTGCATCGCACTGTACCGCACGGCACCGCACTCCACCTTGCTGCACTGCCCTGCACCGCACTGCACTGTTCCTGATGGCGGCGGAGCTTCGCTTCGACGCTGAAGGCCAGCCTCTGGAGTTCAAGGCGTGGCTTGCCGACCTTCGTCGCCAACTCACTGGCCAGCAGCAGGATGGTGAACCGCTTTCCGCACACCTTGACGGTACGCTCCCCTGCCCAGACCCCCCTGCTATTCCGCCCGCTGACTCCACACCCACTGAGCGCGAGTCCACTGCTGCCACTGCCCGTGCGCGCTCTGTCTGGCTTTCTCGCGATGCTGTCGCCCAACTTGCCATTAGCAACGCCCTTCCCCCGTCCGAGCGCCCTCGCTATAGGTCTCTCACCACTGCTCAGGCATACTTAGATGCTGTCATCCAGCGCTATTCCACCCCTCCGGCTGCCTCGGTGGGTCGCCTGATCCTCCCGATGCTCTTTCCTGACCTTGCATCTTTCCCTACTGTCTCTGACCTCGCTGCCCACCTGCGCTCGATAGATGAGACCTGGCGTGCAGCCTGCACTGATGCACAGCTTAGAGCCCACCAGCCGCCCATTACCTCTACCCTCTACCTGCTTGCCACCCGCCTCCCTGACCGCCTTGCTGTCGCCCGCGACCGCTTTCTTAGCAATCACACCGCAGACCTCACCCTCACTGACTTTGTAGACACCCTGACTGTGATAGAGACCCGTCACCGCTCCATCGCCCAGGCGAGCGGTGTCGTGCCGGTCCCTATCTTTCAGGGTTGTGCCCCCGCCCAGTGTACCTTCTCCGACGGCTCTGCCGCAGTGACTGAGACTGCTGCTGCAGCGCAGTTTCGTTCGGGGAAGGGCCGCCGCCCCAAGGTTGGGCGCGGCGGCGGCGGCGGCGGGGGTGCGGGAGGGGGTAGTGGTGGGGTCGGGTCGTCTGGTGCTGGAGCGGACGAGGGGACCCTGCCCAGTCCAGCTGAGCCGCCGCCCCTGCAGTTGCAGCAGCCGCCGCAGTCGCAGCCTTCGCAGCCTTCGCAGCCGCCGCAGCAGCCGTCGCAGACGCGGCAGACGAGTGTCCTCCCGCCCGGGTGGCCCGGCGCTGGCGGTGGCCGGGCGCGTGGTGGTGTGCCGAGTGGTGGCTCTGGTGGCGGGCGTTGTCAGTACCAGATCCAGACCGGTCCTCGCCACGGTTTCGTTTGCGGTAGGCTCGGTCACTCCACTCCCCGCTGTTTTCGTCGCCTGGACGACCTCTTTCGTCAGCGCTTCGGCCCGTCGCCAGACCTCCCGGACTGGCACAGTTTGCTTAGTCGTAAGATTCAGATTTTTGATATGGAAATGGATGCCATTGTTGCTGCTCTGCATGTGATGTATGCTGATGACTCTAGTGTGGTTCCCGCTTATTACTCACTGTTGCCTAGTGTAGGTGTGCCTAGCTTAGCCTCCCCTGCTGCGTCAGGCGTAGGATCCCCTGCTTTGTGTAGTCTTGGTGCTTCCGCCGTCGTTCCGTTGCCAGACGCCTCTGCTTCGCTTTCCTTCACCTTGGACTCTGGCGCTTCTCGGTGTTTCTTCCGCGACTATACCACCCTGACGCCGCTTCCTGTCCCAGCTGCCGTCTCTCTTCCTGACCCCTCCGGCGGTCCGGTCGTCGCCCGCAATTCCACCACCCTTCCCCGTCCGGCGGTTCCTTCGGGCTCTCTCACAGGTCTGCATATCCCCTCGTTCTCCAGGAACCTAGTTGGTGTCGGCTGCCTCCAGGACCTTGGCGTCACCACTACGTTCCCTGGTCACGAGCGGTATGCAGTCTGTACCGAGGCCGCCACTGGTGCCCCCCTGTCCACGTTCCCCCGGGACCCGGTGTCCGGCCTGTTCACTCTGGACACCGTGACCCCCCCGGCTGGGGCGCCTCCTCAGGTGGCTGCGTCTACCCTGGTTGCTGCTGCCTGCTCTTGTCGGTCCCTCACTCACCCGACTCTCCTTTGGCACCACCGCCTAGGTCACCCTGCGCTCCCGCGTCTGCGTCAAATGTCCCAGCACGGTCTTGTCCTTGGTCTCCCAGGTTCCCTCCCCGCGTTTCCCTCCTTCCCAGCTCCACCTTGCACGCCTTGTGTTGAGGGTCAGCTTCGCCGTGCCCCGCACTCCTCCTCGTTTCCCCCTACCGCCGCGCCGCTGCAGACCCTGCACCTGGACGTCTGGGGCCCCGCCCCCGTCCCTGGGCCGCGTCGAGAGCGCTACTTCCTTGTGCTTGTCGACGACTTCACTCGTTATACCACAGTCTTTCCCCTGGAGCGCAAGGCCGACGTGCCTAGCGCTCTCATCCCCTGGCTTGTCTCTGCGCGTGTCCACCGAGGTCTCCCTGTCTTGCGTCTTCACTCCGACCGTGGTGGCGAGTTTGCCTCAGGTGTCCTTGGTCGCTTTTGTCGTGCGGAGGGCATCACCCAGACGTTCACCCTATCGGACTCCCCACAGCAGAATGGGGTCGCTGAGCGACGCATCGGTTTGGTCATGGAGGTGGCTCGCACCTCCATGATCCATGCCGGTGCACCCCATTTTCTGTGGCCGTTCGCTGTGCGCTACGCTTCTCACCAGCTTAACTTGTGGCCGCACCCTCAGCAGCCGCAGGTTTCGCCGACTCGTCTTTGGACTGGGTCTCCTGGTGACGCGTCTGCGTTCCACGTCTGGGGCTGCCTTGCTCACGTCCGTGCCTCCGGCACGGACAAGCTCACTGCCCGCACCCTTCCCTGCGTCTTCCTCGGTTTTCCCCTTGACGCGTCCGACTGGCACTTTTACCACCCGCCGTCTCACCGCTTCTTTCACTCTCGTGACGTCACCTTTGACGAGTCCGTCTCCTACTACCGTCGCTTCCCCCACCATGGTCCCCCGGTTACCCCCCCCTGTTCCTGGTCACTCCTTCTCCGGTAGTCCCTGCCCCTCCTCCTCCTCCTCCTCCTCCCCGTCCCGCCCCCTCTGGTGTGTCCCACGTCACCCCCCTTCCGTCGGTGGACCCGGTTGAGGAGTCTTCTGACTCTGGTGGCCCTCCTGTTCAGTCCTCGCCGGCCGCCCCTCCCCTAGCGTCCCCTCCCCAGTCCCCCCCTCCACCACCTCTGCCGCCGCTGCAGCCGTCGTTGTCGCTGCCGCCGCCGCCGCCGCCGCCGTCGCAGCACCCGTTCGTTGACTCTGGGGGTGCTCGTCTCGGTAGCCCTGGGGGTGGTCCCTCTGGGGGTGCTGGTGTGGAGAGTGCCGGTGGTAGCCGAGGAGCAGCTTGCGGTCCCGGTGTCGCCGTTGTGCCGCCGCAGCAGCAGTCCCCGCCGGTGTCAGCCCTTCGCCTTCTCGGCCTTCCGTCCCCCGACCCTGCGTCGGTTCCTCCCCGGCCGTCTCCTCCTCTTCCTGTCTACGGCCCTGTCTTCCCTCCGCCGGACTCGTCCCCGACCCGTCTCCCCCCTCGTTCCCCTCCTGTGTCCCCTCCTCTGTCTCCTGACCCGACTCCTCCGTCGCACGTCTGGTCTCACCGTCCCTCCCGCGCTCGTCCTGCCTCGCCTGTCTTGCGCTCCCACCCTATGTTGCTTCGTTCCCACACGTCTCGTCCTCCCCTTTTGCCGTCGCCTCCTCCGTCCTCTCTTGTTGTTGCACCCCCCCCGCTGTCTGACTACCTTCGTGCCGCTCGTCCCCTTGTTCCTCGGGTCCTTGCCTCTCTCGTTACCGACCCGTCTGTTCCGGTCTCGTGCCTTGACGCTCTTGTCGCTGCTGTCGCTGACTTCGCCTCTACCCGCCGCCTTGACTACGCCTCCGCTCTGGTCTCTGACCCTGCCTGTCCTCCGTCTGTCGGGGGTGCTCCTGCCCTTGGCAGTGACGTCCTGGAGGACCGCCAGTTTGAGCTTGCTTTCCTCTCCGAGGCTGCTCCCCATCTCTGTTCCATGCTGCTAGTCCCTGAGGGTGACCCAGACGCTTTCGAAATCCCGACCCCTCGCACTTACGCTGAGGCGACTTCGGGACCCTGGGCCTCGCAGTGGATAGCTGCTATGGAGCAGGAGATGGCATCTTGGAGATCCACCGGCACCTTCGTCGACGCAGTTCCCCCACCTGGGGTGAACGTAGTCGATGGCCGCTGGCTCTTCAAGGTGAAGCGCCCTCCTGGAGAGCCGCCTGTCTTCAAGGCGCGCTATGTGGCTAAGGGCTTCAGTCAGCGCGAGGGGGTGGACTTCTTCCAGACTTTCGCTCCGACCCCGAAGATGACTACTCTTCGGGTTCTGTTACACCTAGCTGCTCAGCGTGACTACGAGCTTCACTCCCTCGACTTCTCCACTGCCTTCCTTCAGGGCAGCCTACACGAGCAGGTCTACTTGCGTCGCCCTCAGGGCTTCACTGACACCTTCCCTCCTGGGACCCTGTGGCTCCTGCGGCGCCCCGTCTACGGCCTGCGCCAGGCTCCCCGTGAGTGGCACGACACTCTCCGTGCTACGCTTGCTGACCTGCAGTTCTTTCCGTCTTCCGCAGACCCTTCACTCTTCGTTCGTGCTGGCCAGACTCCGTTCTACATCCTTGTTTACGTCGACGACCTGGTCTTTGCCACAGCTGACAGAGACGCACTGGCCTCCGTGAAGGCAGAGCTGCTGAAGAGACACACGTGCACTGACCTTGGAGAACTGCGCCGTTACCTTGGCTTGCAGATCTCCAGGGACAGAGCTGCGCGCACCATCACCCTGACTCAGTCACACTTGGTGCGCCAGGTCCTTCAGAGGTTCAGCCTTCAGTTCTCCTCTGCACAGCCCACCCCTCTGCCTGTAGACCACAGACTCTCCGCTCCAGTGTCTGAGGATTTGGTAGAGCCCAGCGGCCCCTACGCAGAGCTGGTGGGTTGCCTCATGTACCTGATGACTTGCACTCGCCCAGATCTCGCATACCCTCTCAGCATCCTGGCTCGTTTTGTGGCCACAGGCAGGCACCGACCGCAGCACTGGTCTGCCGCTAAGAGGGTTCTGCGTTATCTTGCTAGTACATCGGGCATGGGGTTAGTGCTAGGAGGACGCAGGCCAGTGGTCTTTACTGGACATACAGACGCTTCGTGGGCAGACGACGCTGAGACACTCAGGTCTACCCAGGGCTACTGCTTCAGCCTTGGCTCAGGTGCCGTCTCGTGGAGAGCTACCCGCTCCTCGTCTGTTGCGCAGTCCAGCTGTGAGGCTGAGATCTACGCTGGTGCCATGGCGGCACAGGAGCTCCGCTGGCTGACCTTCTTGCTCACCGACTTAGGTGAGCGGCCTAGCTCTGCCCCGGTCCTGTTCGCTGACAACAGGGCCATGATCCTCCTGTGTCAGGAGCCTCGACTCGAGGGCAGAGCAAAGCACATTCAGGTGCGGTACTTCCTCCTGCGTGAGCTACAGCAGCGACGTCAGGCTCGCGTAGTACACTTGGCCTCAGGTGCCAATACGGCTGATATCTTTACGAAGGCGCTTGCGCCTAAAGATCATCAGCGACACTGTGTACAGCTTGGTCTAGTTCCTGTAGCCTCTCACTTGCTAGGACCTTGACTTGGTACTGTCCTTTATACGTATACTCAGACTGGACTTGTGTCCTCTCTCAGTGGCTGGACTAGTAGTGCCGCCCTGCTCTTGTTCTTGCCTTGTTTGTACTCCTTCTGACTGGTCTCTCAGACCCTTGTCTCAGAGGTTGGACTAGTAGTGCCGCCCTGAGCTATTTGTTTAGGGCATTCCCCTATGCAGTCTAGGGGGTGTGTCAAACATGTGTATTTGTCATGTTTGTATAGACTGTATAGGGTCGCCTCTTAGAGAGTACAACACTTAGGTATATCCGTGTGTACTCTCTATCTATCATTTTACTTCTCAATTTTGTTACGCTGCACTCACCGCCGCCGTAAGCCGAAGCCGTCGCCGTCGCCGTCGCCGCTGCCGTCGCCGCAGGCCGTTTGCCGCCGCACGCCCGTCGTCGCCGTCGCTGTCGCCGCGGTCGGGACTGCCGCCGTCGCCATCTCCACGGCCTTTTGGGCCCTGCTGGGAGCATTGTGGCTGATGGGACTGGGGGTGCTAGGTTAGGGGGTGTGGGGGTGTGTGTGGGCTTGTGACTACCAAGCCTAGGGGGTGTGTTAAAATTATAGAGTTATATAATTGATAGGCTTGGTAGTGTTACTGAACCTTTCTGTAGAGGGTACAATCCCCTCCTTGTACCTCTCTCTCTTCCTAGTCCAACCCTCTTCTTTCTCGTCACTTTTGCCTACTCCTAGATCTACTTGCCTCATGCCATTCCATGGCGTCCTTCCTTCCTTCCTAGCTAAGCTAGGTTCCTAAGTGTAGTTCCTATCCTAAGCTTCTTTGATAGTCCCTCCCTATGATCAGTGTCAGGTAGAAAGTCGAAAAGGCGGCTCAAGCCGTCAACTCTTGGCGTGGTGCTGCAGCCAAGGGTGGCCTGAACACGTCAAAGGGGAGGATTGGGAGGGGGGGGGGGGGGAGGGCAGGGAACAGGAAAAGGTATAGCCTTTTGGGGGGGGTAAGGGGACGGGGATGTACATGAGCGCTCCAGTGTTCTCCCTCCCCTAGAACCCCCCAGCACCCCCCCAGCACTACCCTACAGCCACTCACCTAGAACCCCTTCAGCAGGAGATTCTTCTCATGGGCTCTTTCACCCGCATGCGGCTGATGAACGAGGTCCTTTCAGCTCCCTCAGGAGGTGTGTTACTCTCCACAACCCCCCCTCCCTACCGGCCCCCCCGCCCCCCCTTGCCCCTTCCTTTCAATCCCCTACCACTCATGCAGAACATCTAGCAGGGTGATCCTCCTCCTCGGGTCTTTCACCAGCGTGCAGCCAATGAGGTCCTAACAACTCTTTCACACGCCCCTCCACACCACCAACTGAAAGCTCGCCTCCCTCTCTCTAACCGCCGCCTCCATGTCTTGTTGGGACGTGGCCCAGAAGAGTGGCACGCCCGACATGACCACTCCGGTGTGCTTTCTTTCCTAGACCCTCCCATCCAACCACTCGCCTCCCTCTCCCTGACCGCCGCCTCCGTGTCGCGCTGAGACGCTGCCCAGAAGGGCGGCATGCCCCTAGAACCATCCTCCATATGGCGGCGCACGTGTCCACTGACCAGTGACCGTTCCCCTAAACGTGGTTCATCCCTCCCCTAGAACCGCCCAGAACCACTCACCAAGAATTTCCAGCAGGGTGATCCTCCTCCTCGGGTCTTTCACCAGCATGCGGCCAATCAGGTCCTTACAGCTGTCCGACACATCCCCCCACACGGCCAGCCGAAAGCTCGCCTCCCTCTCTCTAACAGCCGCCTCCATGTCGCGCTGAGACGCGGCCCAGAATGGTGGCACGCCCGACATGGCGATGTACATCACCACTCCCGTGCTCCACACATCCACCGCCGGGCCGTAGCACCCGTCCCACACCTCCGGCGCCATGTACTCGGGGGTTCCCATTATGTCGGTGAACTGCTCGCCTGGGAATGGAGACAGGAATGAGGGCGGATGAGCGCAAGGGGCCATAGCATGCGTCCCACATCCCCGGTACCATGTACTCGCACGCACCCATTTTGTTGGTGAACTGTTCAGCTAGTGGGGGAGAGGTGGAACTACATTGAAGGAAAGGTGGTGAGTCAGGAGGGAAGTAGTGCCGTAGCACCCATCCCACAACTCCGGTGCCCATGATATCGGTGAACTGTTCGCATGTAGTGATGGGGGGAACGGGTGGAGTGAGAACACGAGCAAGGAGATGACTTTTGAGTTTGCAGGGTGTTTTTGAGAATTCTCAGAAGTCATCACGGGTGGAGTGAGAACAAGAGCAAGGGGGAATGGAGGGAAGAGGGCGCTAGAAAGATGGCAATCCGTAGCACAGCAAAGCAACACACAGGGGGTTAGCTCACTCACCTTCCTCAAAGACCCTCGCGATGCCGAAGTCGACGAGCTTCATCTTGGACATGGCAGTGCCGTCCAGCAGCAGAATTTCCTCTGGCTTGCCTTCTTTCTAGCAAACCACAGCAGGAGAGCAACACCCACCACATCGCACTGCACTGCACCACACCATGGCAGCACAAGCTCACCTTCCTCAAAGACCATCGTGATGCGGAAGTTGACGAGCTTCATCTTGGACATGGCAGAGCCGTCCAGCAGCAGAATGTCCTCTGGCTTGCCGTCTTTCTAGCAAACCACAGCAGGAGAGCAACGCCCACCACACCGCACTACTGCACTGCACCACACCATGGCAGCACAAGCTCACCTTCCTCAAAGACCCTCGCGATGCCGAAGTTGACGAGCTTCATCTTGGACATGGCAGAGCCGTCCAGCAGCAGAATGTCCTCTGGCTTGCCGTCTTTCTAGCAAACCACAGCAGGAGAGCAACGCCCACCACACCGCACTGCACTGCACCACACCATGGCAGCACAAGCTCACCTTCCTCAAAGACCCTCGTGATGCCGAAGTCGACAAGCTTCATCTTGGACATGGCAGTGCCGTCCAGCAGCAGAACGTTCTCCGGCTTGACGTCTTCCTGGCAAACCACTACGGAATAGCACCACACTGCACCACACCGCATCACACCACACCACACCGTGGTAGCACAAACCCACCTTCCTCGAAGAAGCGTGCTATTCCAAAATCCACCAGCTTCATCTTGGACAGCGCAGTGTCGTCCAGTAGCAGAATGTTCTCTGGCTTGATGTCCCGATGCACCACGCCGTGCCTGTGGCAGTGCAGGAGGGCTTCTGCCACGCACCTGCACGAGAAGAAAAGGTAGAAGAGACAGGCACGGCAGGGCGGGTTAAGACGTGTCCCTGAGAGCAGAACCAGTCAGACGTGATGTCTCGATGCACCACGCCGTGCCTGTGGCTGTGCAGCAGCGCCTCTGCCACACACCTGCAGGGAGGAATGGAGGTGGCACGCACATGCCTCTTCATCCATGAGCCCTGCTATGAGGGCTGATGCCTCGTCACCCATTCAGCCACCTGTGGAGATGTGTGCTGCAGGGGGGAAGGGGGTCGGGGGGAAGAAAGGGGGGGGGGAGGGGGGGAGGGGGGAAGGGGCTGTTGAAACAGAGAGGAGGGCCACCAGCAGCAGCACCAGAGACTTGAGTGCTGTTTCCTTGGGCACCTGAGGGGGGCAGTGGGAGGGGGGAGGGACAGCACCAAAGACAGTGGTGATGGAGGATGACACTGACAACAGCAGGAGCACTGGGATCGCCGAATGGTCCTGGAAACATGCCTGGGCTACAGGCATGACGGCCTGGAGGGCTCTTGCCGCAGTCACCCCAGTGGTGGGGTGGCCTGGAGGGCTCTTGCCTGGTGGTGGGGGGTGTTGGAGGAACCTGGGTAGCCCGGCAGCCCGCGGTAGCCCCACAACCCCATAGCCCTGTATTCCCAGCCACCCACCTGCACAGGTGTGCGCCCTCAAAGAGCACCCCTCGCTCAATCATGCAGTCCAGCAAACGCTACAAACAGCATGAGGTTCCATAGCCCCTCAGAACCATAGCCCCATAGACCATGCCATGCCACCTACCTGCAGAGGTGTGCGCCCACCCGCTCAGACAGCACCCCTCGCTCCGTTATCCGATCCAGCAGGTCCCCTCCCTTGCAGAGCTCCATGACTAGGTGCACGCTCTGGTGGGGCAGGGGGTCATGAGGGGTAAGGAGGGGTAAGGAGGGGTAAGGTGGGAGGGGCGGTGGGGTGCTTGTAAGGGTCCTTTGAGGTGCCTGGACAGATGCTCTGTTATCCGATCCAGCAGGTCCCCTCCCTGGCACAGCTCCATGACTAGGTGCATGCTCCGGTGGAAATGGGGGGGTTGAGGAGGAGTGAGGGGTGCATGCATTCCGGCGTCTCACTTGCGGTACAGCTGGTGCCCTCCCTCCCTGGCAGGCACAGTGACAGCGTCATCACCAGGTGCACGCTCTGGTAGATGAAAGGAGGGATGATTTGCAGGGTGGACTAACGAGGGGTGTGTTGAGGAAGACACCTCTTATCCAGTCCAGCAGCTCCCCTCCTTTTCGCACCTCCATCCAGTCCAGCATGACCAGATGTTGGGTTAAGGGGTTTTGAGGGGTAAGAAGGGTGCATCGCTGCATCTCCCTTACCGCTTCGTCTTCAATCACGTCCTGCAGAGTGAGTACAAGGGGGTGGCCCTGCAGCACCTGCAAACATGCATGCATTCTTGCTCTCTTTCCGTCTCACCATTTCGCCTTCAATCACATCCTCCAAAGTGACTATATGGGGGGTGTGTATCCCATCTGACCATTTCATCTGCAGTCCAGAGTGACTATATCGGGGGTGTGTATCACATCGTACCGTGTCGTCTTCAATCACATCCTCCAAAGTGACTATATGGGGGGTGTGTATCGCATCTTACCGTGTCGTCTTCAATCACATCCTCCAAAGTGACTATATGGGGGTGGCCCTGCAGCACCTGCATGCTTGCCACCTCTGCTCGTATATCATCCGCCTCGTACTGGGTCTGGCAGGGGCAGTGGGTGACGTTGGGACATGGGCATAGCAAGGCATTGGTGCGTATGCGTGAGCACTGTTGGTGAGCACTGTTGGTGAGCACTGTTGGTGAGCACTGTTGGTGAGCACTGTTGGTGAGCACTGGCAGGGAGCGTTCACAAACGGAAGGGGGAACATGGCTGGCAGCAGCACCTGCATGCATGCTAGCAACCTCTGCTCGAATATCATCTGCCTCGTACTGGGTCCGGTGGTGGCAAAGAAGGGCAGAGGAGGGAATTATGGGGCGGGATTAAGAAATACAGGAAGGTCAACATAATGCAGAGGGAGGAGCACAGCTTGGCAGCACCTGCGGGCTGGCCACCTCTGCCCGTGTAACATCCGCCTCATTCGGTCTGGTGAGCAGGGTATTGGTGGCACTGGGAGGGATGAAGGGGGAATGAATGCAGCACTCTCAAAGGGATGTGTGGGCATGGGATGTGTTGGCATGGGATGTGTGGGCATGGGATGTGTGGGCATGGGATGTGTGGGCAAGGGATGTGTTGGCATGGGATGTGTGGGCAAGGGATGTGTGGGCAAGGGATGTGTTGGCATGGGATGTGTGGGCAAGGGATGTGTGGGCATGGGATGTGTGGGCAAGGGATGTGTGGGCATGGGATGTGTGGGCATGGGACGCGTGGGCAAGGGATGTGTGGGCAAGGGATGTGTGGGCAAGGGATGTGTGGGCAAGGGATGTGTGGGCAAGGGATGTGTGGGCAAGGGATGTGTGGGCAAGGGATGTGTGGGCAAGGGATGTGTGGGCAAGGGATGTGTGGGCAAGGGATGTGTGGGCAAGGGATGTGTGGGCAAGGGATGTGCGGGCAAGGGATGTGTGGGCAAGGGATGTGTTGGCATGGGATGTGTGGGCAAGGGATGTGTGGGCAAGGGATGTGTTGGCATGGGATGTGTGGGCAAGGGATGTGTGGGCATGGGATGTGTGGGCAAGGGATGTGTGGGCATGGGATGTGTGGGCATGGGACGCGTGGGCAAGGGATGTGTGGGCAAGGGATGTGTGGGCAAGGGATGTGTGGGCAAGGGATGTGTGGGCAAGGGATGTGTGGGCAAGGGATGTGTGGGCAAGGGATGTGTGGGCAAGGGATGTGTGGGCAAGGGATGTGTGGGCAAGGGATGTGTGGGCAAGGGATGTGCGGGCAAGGGATGTGTGGGCAAGGGATGTGCGGGCAAGGGATGTGTGGGCAAGGGATGTGTGGGCAAGGGATGTGTGGGCAAGGGATGTGTGGGCAAGGGATGTGTGGGCAAGGGATGTGTGGGCAAGGGATGTGCGGGCAAGGGATGTGTGGGCAAGGGATGTGTTGGCATGGGATGTGTGGGCAAGGGATGTGTGGGCAAGGGATGTGTTGGCATGGGATGTGTGGGCAAGGGATGTGTGGGCATGGGATGTGTGGGCAAGGGATGTGTGGGCATGGGATGTGTGGGCATGGGACGCGTGGGCAAGGGATGTGTGGGCAAGGGATGTGTGGGCAAGGGATGTGTGGGCAAGGGATGTGTGGGCAAGGGATGTGTGGGCAAGGGATGTGTGGGCAAGGGATGTGTGGGCAAGGGATGTGCGGGCAAGGGATGTGTGGGCAAGGGATGTGTGGGCAAGGGATGTGTGGGCAAGGGATGTGTGGGCAAGGGATGTGCGGGCAAGGGATGTGCGGGCAAGGGATGTGCGGGCAAGGGATGTGTGGGCAAGGGATGTGTGGGCAAGGGATGTGTGGGCAAGGGATGTGTGGGCAAGGGATGTGTGGGCAAGGGATGTGCGGGCAAGGGATGTGTGGGCAAGGGATGTGTGGGCAAGGGATGTGTGGGCAAGGGATGTGTGGGCAAGGGATGTGTGGGCAAGGGATGTGTGGGCAAGGGATGTGTGGGCAAGGGATGTGTGGGCAAGGGATGTGCGGGCAAGGGATGTGTGGGCAAGGGATGTGTGGGCAAGGGATGTGTTGGCATGGGATGTGTGGGCAAGGGATGTGTTGGCATGGGATGTGTGGGCAAGGGATGTGTGGGCATGGGATGTGTGGGCAAGGGATGTGTGGGCATGGGATGTGTGGGCATGGGACGCGTGGGCAAGGGATGTGTGGGCAAGGGATGTGTGGGCAAGGGATGTGTGGGCAAGGGATGTGTGGGCAAGGGATGTGTGGGCAAGGGATGTGTGGGCAAGGGATGTGTGGGCAAGGGATGTGCGGGCAAGGGATGTGTGGGCAAGGGATGTGTGGGCAAGGGATGTGTGGGCAAGGGATGTGTGGGCAAGGGATGTGCGGGCAAGGGATGTGCGGGCAAGGGATGTGCGGGCAAGGGATGTGTGGGCAAGGGATGTGTGGGCAAGGGATGTGTGGGCAAGGGATGTGTGGGCAAGGGATGTGTGGGCAAGGGATGTGTGGGCAAGGGATGTGCGGGCAAGGGATGTGTGGGCAAGGGATGTGTGGGCAAGGGATGTGTGGGCAAGGGATGTGTGGGCATGGGATGTGTGGGCATGGGATGTGTGGGCATGGGACGCGTGGGCAAGGGATGTGTGGGCAAGGGATGTGTGGGCAAGGGATGTGTGGGCAAGGGATGTGTGGGCAAGGGATGTGTGGGCAAGGGATGTGTTGGCATGGGATGTGTGGGCAAGGGATGTGTGGGCATGGGATGTGTGGGCAAGGGATGTGTGGGCATGGGATGTGTGGGCATGGGACGCGTGGGCAAGGGATGTGTGGGCAAGGGATGTGTGGGCAAGGGATGTGTGGGCAAGGGATGTGTGGGCAAGGGATGTGCGGGCAAGGGATGTGTGGGCAAGGGATGTGTTGGCATGGGATGTGTGGGCAAGGGATGTGTGGGCAAGGGATGTGTTGGCATGGGATGTGTGGGCAAGGGATGTGTGGGCATGGGATGTGTGGGCAAGGGATGTGTGGGCATGGGATGTGTGGGCATGGGACGCGTGGGCAAGGGATGTGTGGGCAAGGGATGTGTGGGCAAGGGATGTGTGGGCAAGGGATGTGTGGGCAAGGGATGTGTGGGCAAGGGATGTGTGGGCAAGGGATGTGTGGGCAAGGGATGTGTGGGCAAGGGATGTGCGGGCAAGGGATGTGTGGGCAAGGGATGTGTGGGCAAGGGATGTGTGGGCAAGGGATGTGTGGGCAAGGGATGTGCGGGCAAGGGATGTGCGGGCAAGGGATGTGCGGGCAAGGGATGTGTGGGCAAGGGATGTGTGGGCAAGGGATGTGTGGGCAAGGGATGTGTGGGCAAGGGATGTGTGGGCAAGGGATGTGCGGGCAAGGGATGTGTGGGCAAGGGATGTGTGGGCAAGGGATGTGTGGGCAAGGGATGTGTGGGCAAGGGATGTGTGGGCAAGGGATGTGTGGGCAAGGGATGTGTGGGCAAGGGATGTGTGGGCAAGGGATGTGCGGGCAAGGGATGTGTGGGCAAGGGATGTGTGGGCAAGGGATGTGTTGGCATGGGATGTGTGGGCAAGGGATGTGTTGGCATGGGATGTGTGGGCAAGGGATGTGTGGGCATGGGATGTGTGGGCAAGGGATGTGTGGGCATGGGATGTGTGGGCATGGGACGCGTGGGCAAGGGATGTGTGGGCAAGGGATGTGTGGGCAAGGGATGTGTGGGCAAGGGATGTGTGGGCAAGGGATGTGTGGGCAAGGGATGTGTGGGCAAGGGATGTGTGGGCAAGGGATGTGCGGGCAAGGGATGTGTGGGCAAGGGATGTGTGGGCAAGGGATGTGTGGGCAAGGGATGTGTGGGCAAGGGATGTGCGGGCAAGGGATGTGCGGGCAAGGGATGTGCGGGCAAGGGATGTGTGGGCAAGGGATGTGTGGGCAAGGGATGTGTGGGCAAGGGATGTGTGGGCAAGGGATGTGTGGGCAAGGGATGTGTGGGCAAGGGATGTGCGGGCAAGGGATGTGTGGGCAAGGGATGTGTGGGCAAGGGATGTGTGGGCAAGGGATGTGTGGGCATGGGATGTGTGGGCATGGGATGTGTGGGCATGGGACGCGTGGGCAAGGGATGTGTGGGCAAGGGATGTGTGGGCAAGGGATGTGTGGGCAAGGGATGTGTGGGCAAGGGATGTGTGGGCAAGGGATGTGTTGGCATGGGATGTGTGGGCAAGGGATGTGTGGGCATGGGATGTGTGGGCAAGGGATGTGTGGGCATGGGATGTGTGGGCATGGGACGCGTGGGCAAGGGATGTGTGGGCAAGGGATGTGTGGGCAAGGGATGTGTGGGCAAGGGATGTGTGGGCACATCCCTTGCCCACACATCCCTTGCCCACACATCCCTCATCTGCCCTCATCTGCACTGTCCGTCAGCACCCTGCCCTCCCTCACCTTGACATGCGCCTTCCCGATTGTCTTGCACGCCAGCACCCTGCGCGTGTCGATCGCCACACACTTTCGTATCACCCCGTACTGCCCCGACCCTATCTCCTCCTCGTGCAGCACGTATCGCGCACTCAGGGCGCCATACGGCTTGCGCAAAACGTGCTCCCACGGATGCAACCCCCCGAACTTGATCTTTGACCCTAAGGTGCTGTTCGCTAGAATGCTGTTGACTATGGCATTATTTCTCGAAGGGGCGAGGTCTGCTGCTGGTGGCACAGCGTCTTCAGCAGCAGCCGTCCCTCGTCTATGTCCCTCGCTCCCGGCTGCTGCTTCCTCGGCTCCCTTCTTTGACCTCCCAAACATGCCCTTCTTGCCGGGTCCGGCTAACCCACCACCACCAGCACTCCCAATCTGGCTTAATCCCGACCCCTGCTTCCACAGCCGCCCTTGCTTCTCCTGCTTCTCCTGCCTCTGCTGCCCCTGCCCCTGCTGCTGCTGCATCTGATCCCCCACCTCTGGCAGCACATCCCTCGACTTGCGCCTGGGGTTTAACAGCTTCATCAGTCGGTTGGCGGTGATGGCAGCGATATCATACTCCACAATCACGAAGTCATCATCTGCCCGCTCTCTCAAAGCCCCAGCTTTCCCTCTCCTCCCCGCCCCTCCCCCTCCCATTCCCCCTCCTGCCCCCCCTCCCCCTCCCACTCCCCCTCCCCCTCTCCTCCTCCCCACCCCTTCCCGCCCCCTCTCCATCCCCTCCCCCCCTCCCCTCCCCACTCTCAAATCCGTCTGAACCTTCCCCACAAGCGCCACACTTCCTCTACTCCCCCCTTTCCTCTCCCCGTCCCCCTCCCCGTCCCCCTCCCCCCTCCGCCTCCCCCTTCTCCCCACCTCCGCCTCTCTTCCTATAACCGTCCTCCCCCCCCCTACCACCACAGGAGCGCCTTTCCTCAGCTTACCAGGGGAGTGCGAGGCAGAAGAAGAGACCTTTTCTGCCCTCAGGCTACCCACCCTCCCTTCTGCACGCGCCTTGTGAGGTGACTCATAAATGCCTTCCCTCCCTGACAGACTCGACCTGTGAGGCGGCTCCAACTCCCCCCCACTCTCGGCTACACCTCTCCCCTCCACTCTTCCAGTTTTCCCCTTCCTCCTCCTCCTCCTCTCCTCCTCCTCTTCTTCTTCTCTCCTGAAAAAATCTGCAGCAGCAGCAGCGAGATTGTGGCTGCTGTGCCTCACAGGTGCTCGAGAGTGGTGGGGGGAGCGGTGGGGGGAAGAGTCAGCACCACCCTGGTTGCGGCTGCTTTGTTGGGATGGCGCTGGTGAGAGGTGGGGGGGAGTGAGGGGGTTTGGGGAGAGGTGGGGTGAGATGAGGGGGGATTGGTGGGGGGAAGAGGCAGCAGCAGCAGCTCCCAGGTTGCGGCTGCTGCTGCTGTGGTTGGATAGAGCAGCAGGCGCAGCAGCAACAGACAGTGCCCTTCGCTCACTAGTTTGCTGCAAACCCCCGTCTTCTCCTCCCCCTGCTGCCGTCCCTGCCACTGATCCGCCCCCTCCCCCTTTCATAGCAGCGGCAATCCCTCTCAATCCCAGAGCCAGTCGCACCGGGGATTTGTCTCTTTGATTTGTTCGCCGCTGCTGCTGATGGGGCTGCTTCTGGTTCTGCTGCTGCTGCTGCTGCTGCTGCGGCTGGCTTTGCTGCTTGTTACTGGAGCTCCCAATGTTCCACAGCATCTGCTCCATAGTCAGCAAAGGCTTCTGATGCTGCTGCTGCTGCTGCTGCTGCTGCTGATGGTGTTGCTGCTGCCAATGCTGCTGCTGCTGTCTCCTCCCTCCCACCCCGTGCATCCCCATCCCCCCTTCCGAAGCCGCCGTCTCATGCGCGACAGCAGGGTGCGCCAACCCATCCAACCCAGGAGAATCATCCAACACCATACTGCTGCTCGCGCCCCGCACACGGTCACTCGCACCAGTGGTTGCCGTAGAATCAGCACCAACAGCACCACTAAAGGCAGCAGACGCACCAACAGCAAAACCACTGCCCCCAGCACCAGCACCAGCACCAGCACCAGCACCAGCGCCAGCACCAGCACCAGCACCAGCACCATCGCCATCAGCATCCCCATCACCGCTACTACTATCCCCATCCATGAGCATTTCTAGCAGGGCCGCCCGCCTTGCTGCTCCCTCTCCCTGCAGCAAGTCAGCAGCAGCCATAATGCCCCGGTATGCACACCGCTGCGGACTAGCATTCGCACTTAAAGCCCCCCTATTGTCATACCCACTCTCTCCATCCCCGCCTGATCCCCCTCCTTTTAATCCCCGCCCGTTTAAGAACATGCCGCCCTCCCCGCTCCAGCTTCTCTCCAGGTGCTTCCTACTAACTACCTCTCTAGCCGTGCCTCGGTCCACAGCCCTCGGTCCTCGGTCGAAGTACATGCTTCCATCGCCACTTGATCTCCGCTCAGCCGGCCTAAGCCCATGTGGTGACTTTTGAGTCGACTCAAAACCCATTCCTCGGTCTAAGTACATGTTCCCATCGCCACTTAACCGCCGCTCAGATGGCCGAAGCCCTCCAGCACTTGACACACACTCTGGGATCTGGTGCTCCTGCCTGGCTTCCCATTGCCCCCCCTCCTCCCTCCCCACTGCTACCCCTCCCGTTCCGCCTCCTCTCCCCCCGTGCCCGCCTCCTGCTCCCCCTGCACCCCCTCCCCCCCCTCCCCCCCCTCCCCCCCTCCCCCCCCTCCCCCCTCTCCTCCTCTTCCCCCTCCTCCGCCTCCCCATTCCCTCGTTAGAAGCACGTTCCCCTCCCCGCTCCACTGCCTATCCAGCCTCCCCCCATGCCCCGCCCAATGCTTTGCCCCAGGGGCTACAAAACCCTCCCCACTCCAATTCCGCTCCAAATATGCACTCCTCCTCCCCCCCTCACTCCCCCCCATCTCTCTCCCACTGCTCCCCCTCTCTCCCTCACTTCCCCTCTCTCCCCCACTCCTCCCCCTCTCTCCCCCGCTCCCATGCCCAGCCCCCCTCTGAAGGTACATATGTCCCTCTGTCGACCCTTCCCTCTCTCTCCTCTCCTCCCCTCTGCTCCCTTTACTCTGCGGCCGCTCCAAATACCTCCTCCCTTCGCCGCTTAATCGTCTCTCTAGGTACGGATTCCCCTCTCCACTAAAACTCCGCCTTACGTTCTGCTCGCCCCCTTCCCAGCTCGCCTTCCTCGCCCCATTCCTGTTCCCTTCTCCACTTGATCCCCGTCTTAAGTTACTCTCGCTTCCCTCCCCGCTTCCCTTCCTCCCCACATGCCTATCCCCCTCCCCACTCACCCTCCGCTCAATGTAACCCCTTGCTTCGCCCCTGCTAGAGCCACATTCCGAATCATCCCACCTAAAACCCCCCCTCTCTTCATCCCCTAAGGGGCTCCTCGCATTTCCGCTGCCCTTACCACTGGACCCCCTTCGCCCCAATTCCCTCTCCGCCCATTCTCCCCCCCCCTCCTCCCCATCCGCCCCCCCTCCGCCCCGCCCCTGCAGGAGAATGTTCCCCTCCCCACTCCACTGGCGCTGCAACCCCCCCCTTCTACCCCCCACTCCTCCCCCTGCCCCCCCCGCTCCTCCCCCTACCTGCTGTCCTCGCCATCCCCGCGAACTGGGCGCCACAAACCCCTCTCCGCTCCAAGCTCGCACAATCCCCCCTTCCTGATCCCTCCTCCCCACCCCCACCCCCACCTCCACTCCCCTTTCTTCCCACAATCCGCTCTCCCCCCACATTCCGCCCTCTCCCCCCGCTCTGCCGCTTCCGCGCCCCCAACCCCCCGCCCTTGCTCCCCCACAAGGCGACGCGCCACCGCTAGCGGCGGACAGCTGAGGCGCAGCGAAGATGGGGAGGGGGCTGGGGGGGCCCTGGTGGCTCCTGGTCATCGCACAGGGGGAGCGAGGCCGCTCATAACGCGTATGGGAGTCGAATGTCGATGGTGGGGGCGTTGCCGCGGGGTTGTTTGCATGGCAGAGCGCCACTGGCGACGTGGGCATGTGCATGATCGTCGCCTGCATTGATCCTGACCGTCGGTGCCGCTGGGGTGCACGACCCTGCTGCCGCTGCTGCTGCTGCTGCTGCTGCTGCTGGTGCTGCTGGTGCTGGTGCTGCTGGTGCTGGTGCTGCTGCTGCTGGTGCTGCTGCTGGTGCTGCTGCTGCTGCTGCGAATCCTGTAGCTGTCGAGTTACCAGCCACTCTCCCTCGCCCCCCCTTGTTTTACCTGCTCCCCCTGCTCCCCCTGCTCCCTTTGTTTCCCCTGCTCCCGCACCCCACACGCATCCGCCTGCTCCTTGTATGCTCTCGCCATCCCAATCCATTAACGAGGAACCGCTTAACGCGGACGCGCTCCGCCTGTGCCCAGCCCTCCCGCCGCCGCTTCCCCCTCCCCTCCCCGCTGCCCCTCCGCCCCTCCCCACCGCGCGTGACGGCGCAACCGCACCTGACGGCGCAACCGCGGCTGACGGCCCAACCGCATCCGACGGCGCGTACCTGTACCTGCCCGCAGCCGCCGCCGCCGCCGCCGCTCTGGCTGCCGTCGCCGCCACGCTGGCGGCGCTCCGCGTCGGCGTGAGCGGCCTGCCGTCTCGTTGCGGCGCCACGGCCGGGGGCGTCGCGGCGTCAAGCGCGGACAAATCCCGAGGCGCCTGCTGAAAACCGGTGGCATTCCGAGTCGGCGTGAGCGGCCTGCCGTCTCGTCGCGACGTTATGGGCTTCGTAGCGCCAAGTGCGGTCCACTCATGAGGCGCGGACTCAGAACCAGTGTTCCTACTACGGGCGGGTGTCAGCGGCCTGCCGTTTCGCTGCGGCGTTATGGGCCTCGCGGCGAGAGCGGTGGGCGTCGTTGGACGCCGAGCTTGCGACGTCGCGGGCAACCCCTGCGACGCCTGTCCTGGCGACGTCAGTGGGTGCTTTTGCTGCTGAAACTGCTGCGCCGCCGGCTTTACCGGGGATGTCATGTAGCCACCCGTTCCGCCCATCGGCGCACCGTCGAAGCTTCCCGCGCGAGCAGCGCCTGTGGGCGTGCGCGCTCTCCCTCCGCCACCCCCCCTCACCGCGGCGTCGAAGCGCGCGGAGGCGGCATGCGCGGAGGGCTTTGCGGGCGCCACCGCTTTCGAGAAGAAAGACTGCGCGCTTGCCGGGGGGTCGCCGGGCCCGCCGCCGCCGCCGCCGCTCGTCTGCCAGCGGAACACGGACGGGCGCAACTTTGTGACTACAGCGAGGGCGCTGCCGCGGCGCCGCTCGACGAGGGACTGAGAGGACGTGCTGCTACCCTCGCTATAGTCACTATCGCTGTCACTGATAGTAGCCATCGTAAACTGCGGAGCCGTCTCGATACTAGCAACGCTGCTTTCCTCGAAGCTGTTTCCCTGACTGCCGCGCGACAGAGTACGTGAGCCGGCTGACGTGCCCCCCTGACCGTCTAATGGGCTGTCTTGCCGGCTGAACTGACGGCCACCGTCAGCCGTTGCAGCCGCACTACTAGAGCCTACGTTACTGAAAACGTTAGAGTGCGTGCATTGCCTGTTGCGGGGCGATTTGCCGTGCTTGCGACGACTAACTTCCCCCCGAGCCGCCATGTCTGGGGAAAGAAGGAGCGTCGCGTGGCTCGCTGGGCAACTCGCAAGCTGACTCTGCTGCGACGCGGGCGACGAACGCTTTTGACTCGGAGGCGACTCAAACGACGCTTCGTGCGAAGAGGTTGATGGCGACGCGTTCGGATGGTCGATAGTAGTACGCTCGCACGGTCCGTCTCCTCCGCCTGATGCGGACGAGGATCGCGCGACGAACTGCGACGATACATCGCTCGGATCTGTTTTTCTTTCGGGATTTTCGAGGGTGCTTCGTTCGGCGATTTCTACAGTTTCTGCGTCGCGACCCGATGCCGAGGTCGACCGGCGGAAGCGCAGCTTGGAGAGAAACGCCATCGCGGGGCAACTGTCGAGAAAATGTAAACCAGCCGCGCGTGTGGTAAAAGGAATTTCTAAGTGATCACTAACTAGAGATAAGGAGAGTCGCGTGCTGTACTTGGGAATAGCGCGATTAGTACATTGGTGAAAAAGTTAAGGGCTTGACTCGGCATGAAGAGACGGGTTACGGGACAGGAGCAGGAATGGGGGATAGCGGCACGAGAAACAAACCAGTTGCTGGCAGCAGCAAATGGAGGAGCTGTCTTGATACAGTAGCAGTGCTGAGGAGAAATTGCTAGAGAAATGAACCAGACGCGATGAATGGATTTGTTGAGGAGGGCGCAAATGTGTCGCACAAGCACGACGCCATCAGGGCAAACCCCTGAATGACACGCTAGCATATCGCAGAGCACTCTAGTCGCGTCGCGACTCGCACGCGAAAGACGTCGACCTGGTCCCTCCGTCTGAGTGCTCGCAGGAGACAGTTGCGAGTCTTGGCTTGGCGCAGGGGTGTCATAAAAGGTCGTCTGGTGCGACGTGTTCTGACCTCGTTTTCTTCGCCCTCGCGAGGGTAACACCACATGGATAAAATCGCTGGGCTAGGCTGCTGCTAGGTTGGCGCCAGCCTGAAGTTGAGCTGCCAGAGCCAAACGCGGTGAAGTCAATCAGAGCCCCACGGCCACCAGGATTGGTTCTCTGTTTCATGATGAGCCACACAACAACGAGGGCACACCATGGCGTACTGTACAGTGCTCTACAGTCCTCTGAAGAAGCAGCCAGCCTACGCTTGCTGGGGAACTTGGTTCACCACCACCAGTCGAACTGTAGTAAAGCGTCCCTGACACCGTGTTCTCCAGCGTAAAGATGGAGGCGGCGGTGGAGGTGAATCGTGATGATGTTTTTTTCCATACCCAGACGTTGGGAGGGGATGGGATTCTTGCGAAGCTTCGGCTGGCTCCGAAAGTTTCAGACAAATGGTTTTTAGTCCATGCTTACGGGTTTTTAGCTATTTCTGAGCACAATAACCCAATTACAACAGCCTTTTGCAGCCCAAATCAAGGGTGTTTCCGTTATGTTGCTTGGCTTTTAAGCTTTTCGCTGTACCCCGTCAAGTGCGGGCTGTTGGTTACTGTACCCTCTTGATCTCATCTCTCATCCCTGACCACCGGCATGCAGGCCTCTCGATATCTTAGGGGTCACCCTGCAGTTTCCGAGTTTGTCCGGGATCCAACACGTCCAGGCTGGATAGCCCTAAAAAGTTTGATTGTTTTTGCAGGCAAGAGTTTCGTCAAGCTCGGAATAAGCCACTCCTGACAATGACAGGGGTATATTTTTTAACTAGGGGCGCGAACGTTTACATCAGATTTTACAGGGCGGGTCTATCCCGTACTCGGAAATTGGCCGTGGGATAATTCTGGCTTGCCTGTTCATGGACGGGTATCGATATTCTGAATGCGTCAAAAGCAGGGATAGGTTAAACTTTCACCCTGTTTCCTTGACAAAGCAGTGTAATTACCCTGAATTCCAGAGGCCTGCCCGCATGTTTTATCTTGCTTGATCAACCTCCCTCCCTCCTCTACACCTTGTCTCGCACGCACCCTTCCCCCTCCCTGCCCTCCCCTGCAACTGGAAATCGAGGATTTTGTGTGCAAGCTCCAAGAGGGAGGTGTGGTGTGGTGGTGTGGTGATGATGGGAGTTTCCCTCTAACCGTATCTCTCCCCATTTCTGTGATTCCCCATCACCAACCACCTCAAGATCTTATGTTCCTCAGGTTATCCTCAGCCAGGAGGTGTAGCTAGCTCGACTGATTTCTCCTCGTACTGTTGTTATAAGTTTGCAATGTCCTTTCTTTTGTTACGAATGCTAACTCGCTTACTTCCCTAATCCTCCCAGCGCAGGTGGGTTGTTAGGCATGGCTTTAGGATAATATCAGTACCATTTAGAAATCGGTGAGAGCCGCTTTTCTTCGTCTATTTTAAAACCATCAGAGTCAGTTATCCATTCACGATGCGGCCCAGTTCTGCTTCTCCATCTGCTCCTTCGCGAGATGCCACAACCGCAAATAGCGAGTCTATCCATAACGGAGACGGCAGGCCCGTCAGCCCGTTAAAGGCAACGGTCAGCGGCTCGACATTGCTCGAGCGGCGACAGTACCGACCCCTCGCTGTAGTCACGCAAGCTCGGCCGTCCGCTCGTTCTTCTCACCTTGACGACGACCATCAGGATCACCCTTCGCAATCCGGCGACTCTGCTACTCACTCTGCTACTCACTCTGCTACTCACTCTGCCACCCACAGCAATTCTGCAACACACGGCCATCAGCAGCAGCAGCACCATCATCATGACCATTTCAGCAAGCCCCCGCGCTCGCCGCTGCACTCCCCGCTTCATTCCCCCCGCGGCGGAGCCACCCGCAACCTCCACCCCATGACCCCCCCGGCCAGCTGGACCATGCCTAGCGTCGGGGATTGGGGGGGAACCGGCGGAGACAAAATTGGCGGAGAGAGAACTGGCGGAGAGAATATCGGCGGAGACCACAGCAGCGGCGGTATTAGCAGCAGCCGCAGCAGGGGGGAACCATCAAGCGCCCGCCATTGTCGATCAGCGGCGTCCAGCCCGCGGGTGATGGATTCCGCCTTCGGCCATGGCGCGCTGGGGGGGGAGCCTTCCGCGGGACCTCTGAACGCAGGGGTAGCCGCGACCGGCGGAAAGGGGAGGATGGCCGCGGGGAGGCGCAGCCCACTTGCTTCCCCGAAGATCGAGGATGAGAGCAGCCGACGGCGGAGATCTTTCGAGAAAGATTCGGCGTTCTACGTGGCCATGCCGCGTCCCGTGGTTTCCCAAGATTCGCTCAGTCCACGTGGCAGCAGATCTTTCAATTCGTCAGAATTCGTCTTTTCCGGTGATACGGGAGGGAGAAGGCGGGCCAATCCTGACTCCCGTCGCTCGCCGGTTGCCTCCGATAGTAACCAACTCGATACCCGCTCTTTTGAACTGCCGCATCCTCCGTCCTTCGAAAACCTAATCGAAAGGGGCACCCAGTCGTTCGACTCGCTCAAATCGCCCGCCTCTTCCCGCGCGATTTCCGCCGCCGTCGTTAATGCCGACTTGCCCCCCTCCTTCCGCAGCCCAGCGGGGTCTGCGGCGGGATCCGCGGCGGGATCTCCGGTGGGATCTCCGGCGGGATCTCCGGGCACAGCATCTCCAGTAACTGGGTCCCCGGGTCGGATTAAAAGAGTCTCTTACGCAGTGGTAGACTCTAATTCCGATGGCGCGAAGAGGGAGGGTGTAACCCCGTCCGAGGGTAGGGTTACCCGACGCAGCCACCAGCTGGCGGGCGACCGCGCGGATACGGACAAAAACGCCATTGGCAACGGAATTCCCAGCTGGCTTCCCAGCAGCGGGGTAAAGCAGGCGGAGAGGGATCTGTGGGGTGCGCCGCGCGGGGGAAGCAGGGGCGGAGGGGGGGGCGCCGGTGGGAGCTCGGGGGGGAGCGGGGGAATGCCTTTCGCCTTTTCCCGCTCCCCGCGCGGCTCCCCCCTGGGGCCGGCTAACAAGCTCAAGTCCTACACGTCCCTAGATCCGCCAGGCGCTTTAAAAAGCAGGGGGGGTAAGGACGGTCTAGACTGGCTGGAGGAGATTAAGAAGGGAGGGGGAGGAGGGGGCGGTGGTAGTGGTGGGGACAGCAGTAGTGGCGGCGGAAGCTGGGGAGGAGAGGGGCGCGCAAACGGGAGCGAGACTGGGGGGGGAAGCAGGCGGGGTGTCTCTGCCTCCGCAAGTGGTGGCGCTCTTGGCGGCGCTGGCGGCTTTGGGGGGATTGGCGGAGGCGGAGGAGGGGGGGGAAGCGGGGGAACAGGCGCTGGTGTGAGGGGCGCAAGCGCGCATGGCATAGGCGGCGCAGGCCTCCCTTCCCCCGCGCGTCCCCGCAGCTCTCCCTTAGGGAGGAAGCTTGTATCGCACTCGTCTCTGGACCCGTCCTTTAAGGCAGAGAGGGGAGGCGGGGAGGGGGGATGCGCGGAGGGGGGAATTGCGGAGGGGGACGGGGGGAGGGGGAGCTGGCGGCAGCTGGTGGAGCAGCTCAAGGAAGGGATGGAGGTGAGTGATTCCGACCAAAGCGACAGCAGTGGCAGGGGCGCGGGCGCCCGTGGGGGTGGTGCTGCTGGGGATCAAAGTAACGCTGCTGCTGCTGCTGGTGCTGCTGGTGGTAGTGGTGCTGGTGTTGCTGTTGCTGTGGCCAGTGCGCGCCCCAAGCCGAGGCACAGGCGGGGAGCGTCTCTCCACTCCCTCCCCTCTCTCGCCTCCGCCATCAGCGAAACGCCCTTCACCTCTCTGCAGCAACCGGCTGCCAAAGGCGCAGCTCGTAACGGGGACGATCTCTCTCCCTATGGCAGCACTGCAGGTGTTATTGGCATCGGCAGGGTATCTGGTGGTGGTGGTGGTGGTGGTGGTGGTGCTCCTGCTGGTGCTGCTGCTCCTAAGCCAAGGCATAGGCGAGGTTCTTCCCTCCATTCCTTCTCCCCTCTCGGCCTCACAAGCAGCGAAGCTATTTTCGACTCCATCCAACGGGCAGCTGAAAAAGAAGCGGAACATACCGGTGAACTCCACGCCCCAGCCTACGACAGGCCGGCGTCTGCCTCACAGCTTTCCGGGCAGCTTCACGGGCAGTTTGACGGGTATTGGGGCAGCGAAGACACGGATATAGGGTCGTTTAAGGCAACGGAGGAGGGGCCGAAAGGAAGACTGCATAGGCCGTATCAGGGGTCTGCTGATATAAGCGAGCTCTTAGGGTCGAGGATAAGTAGAGGAAGGGAGAGGTCTAAGCCTAGGGCAGAGGAGAGAACGGCAGGAAGAGAGGTAGGGAGGAGGGAGAGGACGGGTGAGAGGCGAGGGGAGGGGAAAGGGAAGAAGGAGGAGCTGGTAAGGGGGGAGCAAGAGCAGAAAGTGCAGCAGCAGCAGCAGCAGCAGCAGCAGCAGAAGGAGGAGAGGCACAAGAGTCCGAGGGATAGTCTCGGGATCAGGGGCATTCTGCACGCTGCATCCTCCCGCCTCCGCTCCCTTCTCCCCGACACCACCTCACCCACTGGCGGCAGCAGTGCCCCCACTACCGCCCCTCCCAGCACCGCTCCCAGCAGCAGCATCCAGGGGGGTAGCAGCAGCAGCAGCAGCAGCAGGCGGGCTGCTTCCCAGGAAGCCCCTGCTGCTCTCGCATCCTTCTCTCTCAAGTCGGCTGACGCTGCAGCTGGTTACACGGACAGGGAGGGGAGACCAACGGGCGAGGTAGCAGGGCGGGTGGGGGGACTCAGGGGGAGGTTCAGGAGGCAAAAGCAAGGGGGGGAGGAGGAGGGGGAGGAGGGGGAGGGAGGGATGGATAGCCAGGGAGGGAGCCCTGTGGGGACTGGAGGAGGGGGAGATGGCGCTGGGGGCGGTTCACCTGGTGGTGTTGCAGGTGTGAAGGGTAAGTACCACATGCGCCGCCGCCAACGAAGCGCGGACGAGATTCCGAGGATTCCCAAGTCAATGCTGGTCACGCCTCCTGTGTCTCCCCCGAATCAATCCGTGTACGGAGGGGGGTCCGCAGCGGGAGCAGCAGGAGCAGGAGGGGGGAAGGGAGAAGGGGGAGGAAGCGCAGGTGGGGCAGGGTCGTCAGGAGCAGCAGCAGCAGCAGCAGCAGCAGCAGCTGTGTCAGCAGCAGCACTTCACCAACGCCTGGCTCACAGAGATAGGGCGGCCAGAGGGGGTGCCGGAGGGGGTGGATTCCGGGGAAAGGCGGGAATTTCGGGGGTAATTGCTCCGAGAGGGGATACAGTGGGGTCTGGATCGGAGGGCAAGGGTGGCGCCGCCCCCGGGCGGATTATTTTGTCAGACTATGACGTGGCATCCATCCCCCATGAGAAACTAGCTGAGCTGCTGGGCCACAGGCAGGAAGGGGGGCATAGGCCAGATGGGGGCGGCAGAGGAGCAGGGGGGGTAGCAGGGACGGTGGGGGCGAGTAAGGGGAGGAGGGGGGAGGAAGTGAAGGAGGAGCATGGGGCGAAAGGGAAAGGGCAGGTCAAGGGGCAAGTCAACAGCAGGGAGCGAGAGATCGGCAGCAGCAGCAGCAGCAGCGGTGGTGGTAATGGTGATAGTAGTGGCCGTGGTGGTGGTGGTGGTGGTGTTGTTCCCAGCAGCAGCAGCGTCGACAGCAGCAGCAGTGGCATCGGTCCCAACAAGCCGAGTCAACGGCAGCTGCAGCAGCAGCTGCTGCAGTCGTCCCTGGCCCTCCAAACCCAGCTGATGAAGCAGAAGAAAGGGCCTCTGGGGTCCGTGCTCATGCTCGAAAAGGTCTCTACCCACTCGGAACTGGATAAGAAGAAGAAGGCAGCGGGAGCGGGGAAGAAGCAGCAGGCAGATAGCATCATAGCGCAGCTCGCCAATCAAGGCAGCGGGGGGGTAGGCACGGGGTCGGGACGAAAAGGGGGAGGAGTAGGAGCGGGGGGAGGGGGGGAAAGAGCAGGAGTGAGGGTCGATGCTGCCAGTGGCGCTGGCACTGGCGCTAGCGCTAGTGGTGCTGCTGGTGCTGGTGGTGGTGCTGCTGCTAGTGCGGCCAGTGGCGCTAGGAGCAGTGGGTTTAGTGCAATGAGGCAGTATGGCAGCATACGCCCCTCGGACTATGTGCTGAAGAAGCCCTACAAGGACCTGGCCACGCGGTACGTGCTGCACCAGGACGAGCTGGGCAGCGGCGAGTATGGCGTCATCCGCAAGTGCCTTGAGATCGCCACTGGCCAGGTGCTGGCGTGCAAGACCATCAAGAAGAGCCGAATCAAGGTGAGCCGAATCAAGGTGAGCAGAAGCAAGGTAATCAGAATCAATGCAAGAAGAATCAAGGGATGGGCGGGTAGATGAGTAGTGCCTGCCTCGAGATTGCCACCGGCCAGGTGCTCGCGTGCAAGACCATCAAGAAGAGCCGAATCAAGGTGAGCCGAATTAAGGGACGGGCTGGTAGAAGGGTAGTGCCTTGAAGTCTCTCTATTCTATGCTGTCCGCCCGGTATCCTACCGCCTCACTTCCTGTACCACAATCCTCTCACCCCCTTCCCTTTCCCCCCCCTCTTTCCTCCTCCCCTCCTCCCTTCCTCCCCTCCTCCCCGCCTCCCCTCCTCCCCTCCTCCCCTCCTCCCCTCCTCTCTCCCCTTCAGACCCAGGAGGCAGCGGACGACATCAGAATGGAGGTCGCCAGCATGCTGATACTGAAGGGGCATCCCTACATTGTTCCCACATCGTGGATCATCCCGCTTCACATTCTTCTCCCCAACTCTCCTCTCCTCTCTCCCCTTCAGACCCAGGAGGCAGCGGACGACATACGGATGGAGGTCGCCAGCATGCTGATACTCAAGGGGCATCCCTACATTGTCACTCTGCACGATGCAGTGGAAGATGCAAAGGTGAGACGGTCGGTGGTCAATTGTTTCCGAAGTGTTGCTGTTACCAGTATGCTTGCTTGGTATGCTCGGTATGCTCCGTATGCCTTCTTGGTATTCTCGGTATGCTTGCTTGGTATGCTCGGTATGCTCGGTATGCTTGCTTGGTATGCTCGGTATGCTTGCTTGGTATACTCGGTATGCTAGCTTGGTATGCTCGGTATGCTTCCTTGGTATGCTCGGTATGCTTGCTCCGTATGCTTGGTATGCTTGCTCCGTATGCTCGGTATGCTTGCTTTGTATGCTCGGTATGCTTGCTCCGTATGCTCGGTATGCTTGCTTGGTATGCTCAGTATGCTCGGTATGCTTTCTTGGTGTGCTCGGTATGCTTTCTTGGTGTGCTCGGTATGCTTGCTTGGTATGCTCCGTATGCTCGGTATGCTTGCTCGGTATGCTCCGTATGCTTGCTTGGTATGCTCGGTATGCTCGGTATGCTTGCTTGGTATGGTCGGTATGCGTGCTTGGTATGCTCGGTATGCTTGCTTGGTGTGCTCGGCATGCGTGCTTGGTATGCTCGGTATGCTTGCTTGGTGTGCTCGGCATGCGTGCTTGGTATGCTCAGTATGCTTGCTTGGTATGCTCGGTATGCTTGCTAGGCAGGTTTGGTATGCCCGGTATGCTCGCTTGGTATGCTTGGTATGCTCGGTATGCTCGGTATGCTTGGTTGGTGTGATTGGTATGCTTGGTCTGCTCGGTATGCTTGCTTGGTATGCTTGGTATGCTCGGTATGCTTGGTATGCTTGGTATGCTCGGTATGCTTGGTTGTTGTCCTTGGTATGCTTGGTCTGCTCGGTATGCTTGGTCTGCTTGGTATGCTTGCTTGGTATGCTCGTTATGCTCGGTATGCTTGCTTGGTATGCTCGGTGTGCTCCGTATGCTTGCTTGGTATGCTCGGTATGCTTGCTTGGTATGCTCGGTATGCTTGCTTGGTATGCTCGGTATGCTTGCTTGGTAGTATGCTCGGTATGCTTTGTATGCGTGCTTGGTATGCTCGGTATGCTCGATATGCTCCGTATGCTTGCTTGGTATGCTCAGTATGCTTGGTATGCTTGGCATGCTTTCTTGGTATACTCGGTATGCTTGCTTGGTATGCTCGATATGCTTGCTTGGTATGCTTGGTATGCTTGGTATGCTTGGTATGCTCGGTATTCTTGCTTGGTACGTTTGGCATGCTGGGTATGCTTGCTTGGTATGCTGGGTATGCTTGCTTGGTATGTTTGGTATGCTCGGTATGCTTGCGTGGTATGCTCGGTATGCTCGGTATTCTTGCTTGGTATGTTTGGTATGCTTGGTATGCTTGCTTGGTATGCTTGGTACGTACACCTGATGATTGGGTCCTGCAAAGGAGACGACCTGTTTGACCAACTCCAGCGCCCCTGGTCTTCTTCCTTCTCCTCTCTTTCCACCTGCCACCCCTCCCCCTTCCCAACCAAAACCCCCCCCCCCCCCTCTTTGCCCCCCCATGCAGTACGTGCACCTAGTGATGGAGTTCTGCAGGGGCGGCGATCTGTTTGACTCACTGCCTCTGGACCCCTGCTTGACTAAACCCTGAGTGCGCTCTTCTCTCCCCTTCTTCTTGCAGTACGTGCATCTGGTGATGGAGTTCTCCAGGGGCAGCCATCTGTTTGACCGCATCACCAAGGGCAGCGTGTACTCCGAGCCCCTGGTCTTCCCCACAACACCCCCTTCCCCCCGTTACCCCCAATTCCCCCCCACCCCGCCCCGCCCCCCCCCCCCCCCCCCAATGCAGTACGTGCATCTGGTGATGGAGTTCTGCAGGGGCGGCGATCTGTTTGACCGCATCACCAAGGGCGGTGTGTACTCCGAGCCCCTGGGCGCGCACCTGTGCTTGGCCATCACAGAGGCGCTGCTGCACTGCCACCGGCACGGGGTGATCCACCGAGACATCAAGCCCGAGAACATCATGCTGCTGGAGCCGGGGAGTGACACCCGCATCAAGGTGCTCGACTTCGGGGTCGCCACCTTCTTCCAGGAAGGTACGTACTTGCCCCTGTGGCTGCAAGTGTGAGCATAGGTGTGGTGTGAGCATAGGTGTAGTGTGAGCATACGTGTGAGCATAGGTGTGAGCATAGGTGTGAGCATAGGTGTGAGCATAGGTGTGAGCATAGGTGTGAGCATAGGTGTGAGCATACGTGTGAGCATACGTGTGAGCATAGGTGTGAGCATAGGTGTGAGCATAGGTGTGAGCATAGGTGTGAGCATAGGTGTGAGCATAGGTGTGAGCAAAGGTGTGAGCATAGGTGTGAGCATAGGTGTGAGCATAGGTGTGAGCATAGGTGTGAGCATAGGTGTGAGCATAGGTGTGAGCATAGGTGTGAGCATAGGTGTGAGCATAGGTGTGAGCATAGGTGGGTGAGAGTGCAGCTGGGAGAACAGCTCAAAGCCCTCTGGGAAGCGTGTACCTGTGCTGGGGCATTAAGCTGGAGAGCATCATGCTGCTGAAGCCGGGGAGCGACACGCGCATCAAGGTGCTCGACTTCGGCGTTGCTACCTTCTTCCAGGAAGGTACGCATGTCTTGCTGGGAGCGTAGGTGTTGCTGGGAGCGTAGGTGTTGCTGTACTTGTGAGCACAGCTGGAGCTGGGGAGTGACACGTGCATCAAGATGGGTAGGCTCATGTCCGCTCCTGGACCTCTGCTCTGGGTTATCCTCTCCATTTGTTCTGTCCTCTGCCATATCCCCTGCCCCTTCTCTCCCCCTGCTCACATTTAACCTTGCCACTGTCCCACAAGCCATACAACGACAGGCGAATTGCCGCACGGCATCATAGGCTCCCTCTAGAGGACATGTCACTGGAGATGTGGGACCTTTACCTTCCCCTGCTCTCACTCATCCATCTTCCCTCACTTAACCCTCACCCACAGGCGTTATGCCGCACGACATCACAGGCGCTTTCTAGAGAACATGACACCGGAGGTATGGGACCTTTCCCTTACCCTGCTCTCACTCATCCATCATCCCTCCCCCACTTAACCCCCACCCGCAGGCGTTTTGCTGCATGACGTCATAGGCACGCCCGAGTACATGGCACCGGAGGTGTGGGACGGGTGCTACGGCCCGGCGGTGGATGTGTGGAGCACGGGAGTGGTGATGTACATCGCCATGTCGGGCGTGCCGCCCTTCTGGGCCGCGTCCAAGCAGTCTGTGCAAGAAGCGGTGGCTACTCGCGAGGCGAGCTTTAAATCGGCCAAGTGGGCGCACATTTCGGACGAGTGCAAGCATCTGATTGGCCGGATGCTCGCGAAGAATCCTCGGGAGCGGATCACGTGCCTTCAGATTCTGGGTAAGTGTCAACCGTTGGAGAGAAATGAGGGTGGATCTTGTCTTCATATAGGGTGCTTCTTTTCTTTGTACCTACCTAACATTTTCTGTGTTGGTGTTTGTGCAGGGCATCCATGGATACGTCGGCACTCGTCCCGCTGACCAGCTGATAGTAAGCAGTTCGGTTTTACTGGGTACCCAACATATTTTCAGCTAATTATGTTAATTTATGTACGGTACTAGATAACAACACCCATATTAATCCACACCAGGCCTCGTGATAACATGGTGATTTTGTCAACTTATACATATTTGCATATGTAACAGTTATAGGCTAGAAGGGATTGTGCTCTTAGAGAGTACAACACCCAACCACATATTCCCCTGTATCCGTCATTTCTAGTCATCCCGTTACTGTGAGATGGTATCAGCTAGGTTAGGTCTGCCAGCCCACGGCCCGTGCTTCCGCCCTAGCCGCCCTAGCCCAGCCTAGTTGCCCTAGCCCACGCTATGCCCCCCCTACCCCTCGTCGTGTGTGAAACATATTTGTGTATATTTAATAGACTACATAGGGTCTTGCCATAGAGAGTACAACCAACTAGCTAAATACCCATGTATTCTCTCATTCTAGTTATTTTTTCATTCCAACTCTAAGATGGTATCATGAGTAGGTTAGGTCCCACCCGCCCACCCGCGCTTCCGTCTTAGGTCCTAGCCTTCCCCGTCACCTAGCGCCGAGTCCCCGCTGCCCCGCTCCCCTAGCTCCTAGCCGCCCGTGGCCCCGTCGGCCCCCGTCACCAAGCGCCACGCCGCGGCCTAGCCGCCCCGTCGCCTACCGCCCCGTGACCCCGTAGCCCAGCCGCCCAGCGGCCTCGTCGTCCAGCCGCCCCCCGCGGCCCCGTCGTCCCCCCTGTCCCGCGACCCCGTCGCCTACCCGGCCCGTGACCCCGTAGCCCAGCCGCCACGCGGCCCCGTCGTCCCAGCTGCCCCGCGGCCCCGTCGTCTGCGCCAGGCGCCTTGTGAGTGGCATGACACGCTGCATGCTACACTTGCTTACCTACAAATTTTCCCATCGTCTGCGGACCCCTCGCTCTTCGTTCGTTTCGGCCAGACTCCGTTCTACATCCATGTTTACGTAGACGATCTGGTATTTTCTACTATGGACAGAGACGCACTGGCCTCCATGAAGGCCGAGCTGCTGAGGAGACACAGCTGCACTGACCTAGGAGAGCTGCGCCGCTACCTTGGCTTGCAGATTTCCAGGGACAGAGCAGCGCGCACCATCACTCTTACACAGTCACACTTGGTGCGCTAGGTCCTTCAGAAGTTCGGCCTTCAGTTCTCTTCCGCATAGCCCACCCCTCTGCCGGTAGACCACTGACTCTCTGCTCCAGTTCCGGAGGAGGCTGTAGAGCCTAGTGGTCCTTACGCAGACCTGGTGGGTTGCCTTATGTACCTGATGACTTGCACTCGTCCAAATCTCGCATACCCTCTCAGCATCCTGGCAAGCTTTGTGGCCTCCGGCAGACACAGACCACAGCACTGGTCTACGGCTAGGAGGGTTCTGCGTTATCTAGCAAGTACATCGGGCATAAGGCTAGTGCTAGGAGGACGCAGACCAGTGGTCCTTACCAGGCACACAGACGCTTCTTGGGCAGACAACTCCGAGACTCTCAATTCCTCCCAGGGCTACTGCTTTAGCCTTGGTGCAGGTGCTGTCTCGTGGAGGTCCACCCGCTCGTCGTCTGTTGCCCAGTCTAGCTGTGAGGCTGAGATCTACGCCGGTGCCATGGCGGCACAGGAGCTCCGCTGGCTGACCTTCTTCCTCACAGACTTACGTAAGTGGCCTAGCTCTGCCCCGGTCCTATACACTTACAACAAGGCCATGATCCTCTAGTGTCAGGATCCTAGACTCGAGGGCAGAGCGAAGCATATCCAGCTCCGGTACTTCCTCCTGCGCGAGCTACAGCAGCGTCGCCAGGCCCGCGTAGTACACTTGGCCTCGGGTGCCAACACAGCTGATATCTTTACGAAGGCGCTTGCGCCTAAAGATCATCAGCAGCACTGTGTACAGCCTGGACTCGTTCTTGTAGCACCTCATTTTCTAAGACCTTGATGGTGTACAACTCTTTATATATTATCCTGACGGGCCTTGTGGCCTTCTCCCAGTGGCTGGACTAGTAGTGCTGCCCTGGTCTTGTTCTTGCCTTGTTTGTACTCTTTTTTACTGGTCTTTAGACCCCTGCCTTAGAGGTTGGACTAGTAGTGCCGCCCTGAGCTGTTTGTCTCTCATCAGGCTCTGCCCCTATCTAGTCTAAGGGGTGTGTCAAACATATTTGTGTATATTTAGTAGACCACGTAGGGTCTTGCCATAGAGAGTACGACCCACTAGCTATATACCCCTGTATTCTCTCATTCTAGTTATTTTTCCATTCTAACTCAGAGAGCGTGTCCCCTTGCGAGCCGCGCGGCTCCTTGCTCGCCGCTTGCCCCGCGTACACCGGCCCCTTGCTCGCCGGCCCCGCGCTCCCCGGCCCATCGCGCGCCGGCCCCCCTTGCTCGCCAGCTCCGCGCTCGCCGGCCCAGCGCTAGCCGGCCCCTCGTTTGCCAGCCCCGCGCTCGTCGGCCCCGCACTCGCCGGCCCCGCGCTCGCAGGCCCAGCGCTCCCCGACTCATATTGCGTCGGCCCCATGCGCACTGGCCCCACTGGCTTGCAGGCTCCGCGCTCGCCGGCCCCTCGCTCGCCAGCCCCGTGCTCGTCGGCCCCACACTCGCCAGCCCCGTGCTCTCCAGCCCCGCGCCCGCCGAATCCTTCGCTTGCCGGCCTCTACCTCCCGCCAGCCCTTGCTCGCCGGCCCCAGCTCACGTCGGCCCCTACTCGCCAGCCCCGTACTCGCTGGCCCCAGCACCTGCCGACCCCTGCTCGCCGGCCCCAGTTCGCCCCGGCCCCAGCCTGCCGGCCTGAGTTCCTTCCGGCCCCTACCCGCCGTCGGCCCGCAGCCGGCCTCTGCTAGCCGAGCCGCCCGCCCGATCGCCAGCCCCAGCCTGCCGCGCCACTCCAGCTCGTCGCGCCGCTGTGCCGCCCCGACCCGCCGGCCCCTCGTCATCGCCGTCTCTGGTTCCACTCTTAGCCGGCACTTCTGCTGGCTGTCCTCTCCATCGCTCGCCACCGCTCTTCACCGACCATGCCTCTACCCCTCCTCCTCCTCCTCTCACGGTCGTCAGCTGCTGCAACTGTGGTGATGGCGGACGCGGTGCTTCGCCTGGATGCGGAGGGTCGGGCGGTCGATTTTGAGGCGTGGCTCGTCAACCTCCGCCGCTAGCTGAAGTTTCAGCGCCAGGATGGCCAGCCCCTGGCCGTCCATGTCATTGGTAAGCTCCCCTGCTACGACCCACCTGCTGCCCTCTCTGATGCCCCCATGTCCGCTGAGTGTGAGGCCTTTGCAGCTGCTGAGCTCGCCCGCTCTGTCTGGGAGTCGCGCGACGCAGTTGTTCAGCTTGCTATCATTGCGTGCTATTCCACTCCCTCCTCCACCACTGCCGGCCGTTTCCTGCTCCATCTGCTCTTTCCTGACCCTCAGTTGTCGCTTGTTGTCTCTCCGCCTCCTCACTCTGACTTTCTTCGTGCGGCTAGTCCTCTTGTTCGTCGGGTCATCGCCTCTCTTGTTACCAACCTGCCCATTCTTGTCTCGATTCTTGACGCTCTTGCCGCCGCCATTACTGACTTTGCCGCTACCCGCCGCCTTGATTATACCACTGCTCTGGTCTCTGACCCTGCCCGTCCTTCGTCCATCGGGGGTGCACCTGGCCTTGGCAGTGACGTTCTAGAGGACAGGCGGTACGAGCTAGCTTTCCTGTCCGAGGCTGCTCCTCATCTCTGCTCCATGTTGCTAGTCCCTGAAGGTGACGCAGACGCCCTTAACATCCCAACCCCTCGCACTTGCGCTGAGGCGACCTCAGGACCCTGGGCTTCTCAGTCGATAGCTGCCATGGACGCGGAGATGCCATCTTGGAGATCCACCGGCACCTACGTCGACGCAATTCCTCTACCTGAGGTGAACATAGTTGATGGCCGATGGCTCTTCAAGATGAAGCCCCCTCCTAGAGACCTGCCGGTGTTCAAGGCGTGCTAGAGGCTTCAGCCAACACGAGGGTGTTGACTTCTTTCAGACCTTCGCCCCGACCCCGAATATAACCACTCTTCGGGCATTGCTTCACGTAGCAGCACTGCACAACTACGAGGTGCACTCTCTCGACTTCTCCATAGCATTTCTCCAGGGCCGTCTGCACGAGCAGGTCTACCTACGCCGATCGCCAGGCTTCTCTGGCTCTTTCCCTCCTGGGACCGAGTGGCTCCTCCGGCACCCGGTTTACGGCCCACGTCAAGCGCCCCGTGAGTGGCACGACACGTTGCGTGCTACGTTAGTAGACCTGCAGCTCTTCCTATCCTCTGCTGCCCTTCGCTCTTCGTTCGCTCATGCCATACTCCATTCTACATCTTAGTCTACGAATTCTTCGCTACTTCAGATAGGGACGCACTGGCCTCAGTGAAGGCTGAGCTGCTAGAGAGCCACACCTGCACTGCCCTAAGAGAGCTACGCTGCTACCTTGGGCTGCAGATCTCTAAGGACAGAGCAGAGCGCACCATCACTCTTACACAGTCACACTTGGTACGCCAAGTCCTTCAGAGGTTCGGCCTTCAGTTCTCCTCTGCACAGCCCACACCTCTGCCAGTAGATCACATGCTTTCGGCTCCAGTCCACTGACAAGTCGGTTGAGTCCAGCGGTCTGTACGCAGAGCTTGTGGGCTGCCTCATGTACCTGATGACTTGCACTCATCCAGATCTTGCACACACTCTTAGTATCCTGGCTCGCTTTGTGGCGTCAGGCAGACACCGACCCCAGCATTGGTCGGCCGCTAAGAGAGTTTTGCATTATCTACCTAGTACATCGGGCATAGGGCTAGTGCTGGGAGGACACAGGCCAGTGGTCCTTACAGGACACACAGTCGCTTCGTGGGCGGACGACGCTGAGACACATAGGTCCTCCCAGGGCTATTGCTTTAACCTTGGTGCATGCGCCATCTCGTGGAGGTCCACTCGCTCGTTGTCTGTTGCCCAGTCCAGCTGCAAGACTGAGATCTACGCTGGTGCCATGGCAGCAGAGGAGCTCCGCTAGCTGACCTTCTTGCTCACTGACTTAGGTGAGCGGCCTAGCTCTGCCCGAGTCCTGTACGCTGACAACAGGACCATGATCCTCCTGTGTCAGGAGCCTCAACTTGAGGGCAGAGCGAAGCACATCCAGATGCACTACTTCCTCCTGCGCGAGCTACAACAGCACTATCATGCCCGCGTAGTACACTTGGCCTCTGGTGCCAATACAACTGATATCTTTACTAAGGCGCTTGCGCCT